CTCTCCCAGTGTCACTGTTTATTGGATATTTTGAATTGGATAGTCATCTCAAGCTTAACATGACCAAGACAGAATTCACTATGGTTCCCCTAAAATCCACCCTCTTCCAACTAAATGTGGATATTGCTCAAGACTTAATCCTTAATTCTTTTCACTATATATTCACTCCCTGTAAACTCAAGTCTTTCTTCCAAATTTCCCTATTTCTTGATACTTCTAAGCACCTATGTTTGCTATCTCGGAGTCATCTTTTACTCCTCACTCTCCATTATCAAATTAGTTGCCAAATTCTTCTCAATATTACTTTCACACTGTCTTTCACATCTCTCTCCATTAAATGTCTCTGATTTTAGTTTAGGCCCTGATCACCTCCTAAAGCACAGATTTGACCATGTAAGTAACTCCCAGGCTCATTAAGTTCCAGTGGCTCCCTATTGCCTCTACGAGTGAATAAAAACATCTCCAAAGCCTTCACTTTCTAGCTCCAGCCTACATTTCCAGACCTATATTATAATTTCTCTTTACATTTTATGTTCTAAACAAATTGGCTTATTTCTTATTCTTCACATGTGACATTTCATCTCTCATCTCTGTACCTGTGTCTAAAATATACTTCCTCCTCACTTCTGTCACTTAGAATGCCTAGCCTCCTTCAACACCCAGCTCAAATGCTACATTTTATGAGGCCTTTCCCGATCTTTCACCCCTCCTTCCTCCCCTGTCCCCCTCAGCAGCTAATCCTTTTCCCCTACCTCCAAGTTACCATAAAGACTTTTTGTATCTACTCCTATGTATACATGTTATCTCTCTGTATGGTAGACAAACACTTTGAAGCAAGGGCCATTCTGTTTTTATCTTTGTCTTTGTATCCCTAGAAATAAATAATATTTGATAAATGTTTCTACATTGATAGATTGTTAATGGATAGTGTGGCTATAAGTTAAACTTTACTTGACATTTTGATACATTTCAGTTGACTAATGAGACATTTTCAGCGAGGGTGGGAGGTGAAAAGAACTAAATGAAATAAAAATGAAGTTCTAGGTGGATATTCAGAAGAATCATAAAGGTGTGACAAGATTTTCTGGGGCTCTATTGATCTCAAAGAATACAGCAACCCACCCAATTGATCACACAGGCCTAACTGTTAAACCCACTGTTTAACAATGGGTTTCCATCTGTTAAACAGAAGGAAGCACAAAATTCAGGTGGCATATCCTCAATTGGACCCCAGTCTTCCAGGAAGGGTTTGGAAAGACTCAAAGAAACAGTAAAGAGAGAAGCGTAAAGGTCCACCACAGAAATATAATCAGACATACAATGATGAAAAGAACTGGAGGAAAAGTGTGAGGAGATGTGCCTTCTCCTTCCCCACTCTGCCTGATACTCAACTACTTCAGTAAAAGATTAAGACACATCAAAAAATCAACTACTACAGAAATTCAGTCATTTTTTTTTACTTAATCCAAAGAGCACTGAAGACACCTTACTCATTTTAAGGTGAAATAATTAAAACATTCAATTTCTTCCACAGTCACTAATGCTTTTTACTCTCTCATGAAAAGATATCACAAAACTGAAAAATCATTTCAGCTTTACAAATGGTTTGCAACTTAAGGTCAGTAAGAAATGACTCCTAGGCCAGACATCAGAATTATGTAGAAGAGACCATAAAACTAGAAAGCATGCCAAGACATGCTTTTGGGGTGTCTCTGCTTGGCTCTAGGCTCATATATATAAGGGTTGTACCTTGCTCTCTCTTTTGGGGTCTTCTATTATACTTCAGTGTTTTGATGGATCCAAGGTCAGATTGGATCTGTTTTAATTGCTGTGTCTTCTCATCTTTATCCTTTCTTATAATTTAGTGTGTTGAATTAGACTGTTGTTCTATGTAGTTGATGGTCTGACCAGCCATAGATAATTAATCTGATATGGATTTTCCTCATCAATGACTCATATTTCCTGTCAATGTATATAGTCAATTTCATTTTTGGTGATGTTATTCAATCCTCACTATCTCCATCTTCTTACTCTTCTCTTAAAGAAAGGGTTCATGACGTACATGTTATTGTTTGTCCTTCACCCTCTAAGAGGACCATGACATCAGGGAGGACGTACACGTATAATTTTGAGTAATCCATTAGCTCTTATGTTTTTAATACCAAATCATTTTTTCACTTTTTTTTTTTTTTGCCATCCTACTCTTTGTTCACCTTCACTTTAAAGTTAACAGGTGTTGAGGTATGCATTAATTTGATTTGGAGAAGGTGAAATTTGTCATAGAATTTTTCCTATTCTGTGACACCTGTCAGTACATAAACTGCAATTATCTTCATGGCAAACTTTATTGTGGTCGCCATAAGCATGAGATGACCAAACATCCCACAAAAAAACTGAATTTAGAAAGAACAAAGGATGAAAACGACATCCAAATTAGAGCCTGGAAATAATCCTTCCATTTCATTGCAACATCCTTATGTGCTCTGGTTTAATTTATAGCAAGAATGTCAGTATTGATATGGTTCCTACTCTCCAGTAATATTTCAAATCTTTTGTTGTTGTTTAGTCATTTCAGTCATATCTGACTCTTCATGGCCCCTTTTGGGGTTTTCTTGGCAAAGATAATGGAATGGTATGGTATTTCCTTCTCCAGCTCATTTTACAGAAGAGGAAACTGAGACAAAGAGGGCTAAGTGACTTGCCCAGGGTCACACAGTTAGTGAGTGTCTAAGTCCAGATTTAAACTCAGGTTTTCCAAACTCCAGACCTGGCATTCTATCCACTGTACCACCTAGCTGCCCCAATATTTCAACTTACTGTTTACAAATAGTGATATTAATTAACAAATTGATTACATATTCACAAGAAAGAGCTAATCACTTATGTGGGGAGTCATTTCTGAATCAGCTGTCTGCATACAGTCAGATTGCTCACTAGTTAAAGCAAAGATTGACATGAACACCAAACCTGAAGAAGAGAGAAATATGAGAAGGTAAGTTGCAGTTAGGAAAGGGAATGGGGAAAAAAAAGGAAACAGGATGACAAAAGGAAACAGGATGTATGGCTCACAATCTTCACAATGGGAAGATCACTGATCTACTAGGGTACTAAAAAAATATTCTTGAATTATGGAACAGAAGGAACTCTGGGCCATGAAAGGTAAACTTTGGCAGATCCCACCAAGGTAGAAAAATTTCAAGTATAGGCCACAATCTAAGGAAGACTTATTTGTTGTCTAAGCAGAAACCCAGAAAAATTTGGAAGAACTCATCACCATTTTGATCACAGGATGAGAAATTAATTAGCAACAACAATTCTTGATGCCCATCTTCTAAGTTATAGCTGGGCTAAGATTTGCATCAATAGAGGGAGTGATCAATCCAATAAAATTACTGACTCCTGAGGCATTGATTAATCATTATATGTATTGATCCTATGTACTAGATCCATCCTTCACATTAAAGCTTTGCTCTTGTGCTTTTACCATGACCTATAATAAATCCTGTATTCTCGATGGCTATGCCAGCAGAGGATAAGTTCAGAAAAGTCTTAGCAAACTATTAAGCATTTGAATATGGACTGTGTGCTTTTTATTCAATGTCCAGACTATAAATTTAGAAAGTCAAATCACCAGAGGGAAGGAGTCTAAGTGATAAATTTTCTGGTCTTATAACTACCAGCTCAGTTGAGTACTTGGTGATGGAATGAATGCAAACTTTACCCACTTAGCACACTCTATTTCCTGCTGGTCCTAAATACCTGACCCTGCTTTATTTTCACATCATATAACATCTAGCCATCCTTCCAGTTCTGCCCCACTGCCTTACTTCTCCCTACCTGAACCTCTATAATTCAGGGCCTCAGTACCTAGGGAAATTAATCCCATTCATCTTTGACACTCCTGCCCTAGGGTCCAAGCTAACTGACTGGTGACTAAGAGAGTGCAAACTAGCTTACTTAGCTGGCCTTAACTCTCTGGAAGAGGGTAAGGAATAGCACTACTGCTAATCCTATTCACCAGGCCATGCTTTGCCTTTACATCCAACCATATAACTATCCACCCAGGCCCTCTTACCACCTCCCTCCCTCCCACCCCAATCTTCTACCTTACACTGTAGCCACTGTAATAAACTGATAGTACCATTACTATTACTTCTAAAAAGGGTAGGTTAGTTAACTTTATGCATCAACTTGCCATCTTTGTGACTCATCAGACAAAAACTCCCTTTCCTGGCCACCACTCCCTTATATGCACTGTCTTCCCCTATTAGAATGCATGCTTGAGTGCAAGATCTAGCTTTTTTTTCCACATTTGTATCTCCAACCCTTAGCACAGTGCTTGGCACACAATAAGTAATTAAACTTTTCTTATCCATTCATTCATCCATTATAGTATCAAAAGACTGTGATCTGCATCAATGCAGGAAACTCACACCAATGAAATCTTGTATCTTTAAATAATAATGTGTACTAGATAAATATACATTGGAGATATGAGGAGAACTTTGTATTTAAGTTATTGGATGGTAATCATATTTTACAAACTAAAAATAAACACATATGGTCTTACAAAGGATATCCACTCTGAAAACTACACTCTTCCTGAGATTGAGGCTGTTCCAGAAAATCTGAGACAGATGGTCTCTGTAGTTATTGGCTATTCTGCCAATACATACTAATTGCCATAGTCAAAAGATTCTGAGTTCAAAATGTTTTTGGAATATATGAGTAAAAGTTATTCAGGGGAGGAAAACTACCAATAAATTACATGAAAAATACACAAACATTCAGAAACAAACAAAAAAAAGTCATTTAGTATGATAGGGAGATACAAAAAATAAAAACAAACAAAACAAAAACTTTAGGCTCCAAAATTTGGAAATAAAACATGAAACTTTTTCATAGAATAGATAAATTAAAATATAACAATCCCATGATATTGTTTACTTCCCTTAATATTTTTTAATAAAGGACATCTCTTTTTTTATTAAACCACTTACCTTGTTTTCTTTACAGTGATGTTGCTGCTGAGTTTTTCTAATCGACATTCTCCAGTATCATGGTTAATAATCAAAATACATTCTTTTAGATAAGGTTTCTTTGAGCCTTTGAAAACAGATACTGGTGGTGTTGAACCCTATTTGAAAATTTTTAACTAGTTAATTAACATTTACTTAGAATTTGTCATCTAATTTTAGGATTAGAAATAACTTTACACATATCCCTCCTTTAATTATTTCCTAATTATCCTGTATATAGCTTGTTTTGTATATATTTGTTTGCATGTTGTCTCCCCGTTAGATTGTAAGCTCCTTGAGGACAGGGACAATCTTTTGCTTCTTTTTGCATCCTCAGTGCTTAAGCACAGTGCTTGGCACATGGCAGGTGCTTAATGTTTATTGATTGATTGATTGATCATATCTAGTTCAATCCCTGAATTTTAGAGATGAAAAAACTCTCAACTCTAAATGCCCAGAATTATCACCAAACTTAACTCTTTTGAAAATATATGAACTTTTTATTTTTTTCTGTTTTCCTAAAATCTAGAACCCCATGGTGAAAATCCATGATGTCCATATAATTTAAATTACAGGTAACCCAAAGGATAATGGAGAGATTACTGTAGGTATTAATAGACTATAACAGATTACCAACAATGACACTAATAAGTTAGGCAAAAATATCAGCACGGAAAAAGAGTGAAGAATAACACGTCGACAGCCCCAGTGTTCATTGGTACCCACACAATATTTAAAAACCTGTAAGGAAGATTTCCAGTGTTTTGGGTAAATCTTCAATGAAGGGTATATGGGAGGACATGGTTAAGAATCTCATAGGATAAGAAGCCATAGATGGCTTATGATCATTGATAGTGAGAATACACATACGGATGAGATCACTGATCCCCATCCTACCAAGTGACTTCATCAAATCATAAAAGATACAATATTTCACTTACGTAGATGAGTGGAAATGGATATGTCAAAATACACTTGCGACAATGATAATAATTACTGGCAACTATGATAGCACTATTAAAATCCAAGTTGGTAGAGTTCCTTTACTGAAAAAAATCAGAGGTCCTTGAAACATAAAACTCAAGAATGAAAAAGAGACATGTACAAATTATGCTACTGTGGGAGGTGGGGAAGGAGGAGGATATATTAGTGCAATGCCAATTATTACCAATAGGAAATAATATATTTATTTTAAGTTCCTTTGGATTCTTAAGTAGAATGGAATGACTTACGACAGTACAAAAGATACTTGATGTTATTCATAAGGACAAGGCAAAGAAGTATTTACAAAACTTTATTTCCCTCATGTACATTCTACATGCTTCTTCTTCTTTTTTTTCATTCCATATGCTTCTTAAGATGAATTTGCTTTTTTCTCTAAATTTAGCACCATCCTACATCTTGAACACTGGCTGCTGCCCACTTATTCTTTAAAGCAGCTGAATACAAATGGAAAAATTACCTGAAGAACTCCTCCTGAACATATGGAAGTCAGGCCATGCTTCCATAATGACTTATCTCTAACTACATTATGGATTGTAGTTCTAGAACAGTGAGAACATTGTTCTAAAGCTTGTGGCAGGCAATAATTACAATTTTAAAAAATGCATTGAATTCCCAGCCAAGCTGACAAGGGGTGGACTAATGTTGTTTTGTTGTTTCAGCTGTATCAGACTTTTTGTGAACCCATGTTTATGAGGGGCTTCTTGGCAAAGACACTGGAGTGGTGTGAGATTTCCTTCTCCAGTACATTTTACAGATGAGGGAACTGAGGCAAACAGGGTTAAGTGACTTGCCCAGGGTCACATAAGTAGTAAATATCTGAGGCCACATTTGAACTCAGGTCTTCCTTACTCCAGACCTTTGATCTACTGCACCACCTAACTGCCCCAGGCGGAATAAATCTGTCTCCTTTTGAAGTGATAGTTAAGAGTCAGCTGGCTGGGGAGGGGGGAGAGGCAGACAGGATTTTCAAGGACCTTTCATTAAAGGAGTTTTACAGAGTATGATATCTGATATGCAAATAGTGCTTTACACCTTCCAACACCTTTATGCCCATTATCCAACTTGATCTTCACTATTATCCTGGTGAGGCAGACAGGGCAGCTATTACCAATGATAAAGCCAAGAGACTACAACATGGGCTTTATCCAGGGTCACACAGTCTGAGTCAGAACTGGAACACCCAAGTTTCCTAATGTTTAATTCAGGGTATTTTCAATTATATCAATCATAGGAAAAGGTTAACAATGATCTATTCATATTCTCTCACCTAGTATTCTCATTGTGATGAACAATGTATATTCTGACTGGGATTAGTAGTCTGTGGCTCGGCAACACTGATACTCACTGGCCCACATAGTGATCAAACCTGTAACATTTTTCTCACTAGCACAAATCTGTAACACAACAAGCTACTGACGAGGCTGTAACTGTGGCAAAATGGACCACAGGAACATACTGGGAAGCATCGAATAGTATATAATACTACACTAATATAAGGTAATAATGCTTAGGATGATTAAATTGGAAACTTCTGGGTATTATGAAATCACCAGCTAGTAGGGGAAAGCTCATTTTTTTTCCCAGAAAGAATATCATTCCTCACATTTTCCATGGTGACTGAGGACTTTGGAAAGAGTTTATTTGAAGGGGTACTTTCATGATGGGGGAAAACGTATAGCCTATTCAAGAATATACCTTCTATTCTTTATTTCTTATGATTGCCCATGGACTATAAAAAGCAAGGTAGATGATTAATAATTTACTAAGATGGCCTAGGTTACATATTCAAGAAGTAGAAATGTGAATAAGTCTCTGATGTCTTGGCTAAACCTCTCACAAGATTTGACTCTATACTGAATTGGCTCCTATATGTCTACATCAGACCACAGTCTTGGAGTTCTTATTAGAGGTTCCTACAGAGAAGTTTAAACAATGTTAGTTAGTTTAGCAAGTATTATGATGAAGGTGGAACAGTAGGTAAAAGAAAGATGTGTTAAGCAGAAAGGTTTTCCCAGAATTATGATCTTCCACTCTTCTGACTATATCAACATACATATCATTCAACATTATTATTCAAAGGAGCTTACTAAACTGTTAAATTCTTGAGGGAAAGGACCATGTCTTAAATAACGGTCTATCTTCCCTAGCACTTAGTACACTGCTTAATAAATTTATGCTATAGTGTATTCCTGGAGTTATTTTATTTCCGTTAAAAATGGTATTTTTAAGTGTGTCTTCTTCATAAATATGCACACACACATACACATACAGACATACACCAATCACATTAAACTCCCTATATGAATATATCCTAGCTAGAAAATCAAATACATTCAATAATTTTAATGCATAGATTTTTAAAGCCTCTTCTCTACCCTCCCCCACAGCTGACACCTTGAAGATGTAAATAAGAAAGAGAAAAAGAAGAAGAGATGAAGATACAAAGGAGAGAAATGGAGAGAACTTCAGAAAGTCCAGGACAATAACATTCTGTGTACATTTAAAGTGTGGTCATTTTTAATGAAGAGTCAGTTTTAAGTGGAGCCGATGTGGCACAGCGGGAAAAGTGCTGCATTTACAGTCAGGCAAGTCTGTGGGATTCCAGGCAAGTTACAATTTGTCTGAGACTCAGTTTTCTCAACTGTAAACTGGGGATAAGAATATGCCTATAGTACCTCTATCATAGGGCTGCTATGAGAATCAAATGAGAATGTATGTAAAGCACTTTGCAAACCTTAAAACACTATATTAAGTTACAAAGTACAATAAAAATTGCTGTCAGGTACTTAAGTAGTTAAGTCTCCTTCTAGATACTTATTCATATATTTTATTGAAAGCATTCAATTATTTTGGATGGATAAAATAGCATTGCTTATTATCATTAATTGAGATGCTGTAATCATACCAGAAAATTTAAAGTTACAAGTAAAAGGAAAAACCATCAGTGAAGTTTTTAATCCTTCCTTCAAAGTACAAATGACCTAGTTTTTCACAATATGCTATAAAGTTTGTTTGTGCAAATATGCTGACTTGGCTTTATTCCTCTAAGATGGAGATTCTCCCAAAAGGACAGTACCACTCCCCAGGTTTGTACTGGAAGTCAGGATTCTATCATTCTCTGGTAGAAGTGGGATTTACCACAGCAATGGGCTATTTGATGCCCTAGGAACCCTGAATGCTTTCCACTTGCAGGAGGCCTCAATCCCAGGATGGCACATTAGGTCTGGAGGAATATATAGATTCCTGGGAACATAAGACTTAGTGGAGAAGGTGGGAACTTTTTATCTTGGCTGTTTATAGTTTCAGGAATAAATTCATTGTTGCTACTGTTGTTGAATCAAATAAAGCATCTTCTATATTCAATGTTTTATTAGCCTGAGTGCTTGCCTGAGAACTGAAGGTCTTTCACACCCTTCTCCTTTGTCACAGACATGGAGATAGAGGCTAAATGTTAACGTTTTCTGGGAACTTCAGGTGAGTCAAAAAGGTTTATGATTAATGAGAATTCCCCCAAGATTAAACTCAGTCGATACACAAAAATGTTCAGTTCTGGGCCACAGGTTAAACTATGCTACAGCCAGGTCTCCTCGATAGACTAATCCATTAATTTTTTTAAGCATGAATAAGTAAGGAAATAAGCCTTTTCAGTATAGGAGAGAACAGAAACACAAAAGACTTTCATTCTAAATATTCTGAATAATGGGAAATGAAATAAATACCAACTCCTCTTCAGTGCTAGTAGCTTTTATGCTCGTCCCTCAAGCAATATCTAAAGCCTACTGGGTCAGCAAATGCTCAAAGTCTCATATGAAAGGAGCATAAAACATTCTCATGGGTACGTTGAGGAAAAAAAAAATAAAAACTTTGGAAACAACCTGTGTCAGTGTTGGCTTCTCCTTGATCTCTACAGCTCTGAGTTAGAGATATTAACTCTAAGGAAAGTGAGAATACTTTATATCAAGTAGACAATTTACAAATATTTACTGAATGTAATTTAGAGGAAATATCCTCAATGGAGGAATCCTTGTTTTTCTGGTGGGGACAGTAAGAGACAATCATTTGATAAAACAATAATTCAATCTATGTCAAATCTCTTTCTCTGTCTCTCTGTCTCTCTGTTCCGCTCTCTCTCTCTCTCTCTCTCTCTCTCTCTCACACACACACACACACACACACACACACACACACACACACACACAGAATTTGAAAGAATCATCCATTGTCAAGAATACAATTTGAGGCTAGTCTAGCATGGCAGTGGTTGTTACCAACTGAAGGCTTTTCAGTGACTGAAGAATTGGGTTGGGAGGCTCTGGACAATCTTTAACAGATATAATAAGATCATTTACTAGTTGATCATGATCTTTCCCTCCTTGTACCTCACATAGCACTTTGCTTACGTATGTACTATGTATTAGAGTTATCTGTGCCTGTGTCATGTCCCCTCACTAGACTGTATGCCAAACAAGGGTAGAATTGGGCAATCAAAGTGGGCACTTAATAAATATTTGCTGAATTAAACTGAATTAAGTAGTGTCATACTAATATACAAATTTCAGCATTATATTTTCAATTTCTCCTTAGGACAACTAAGAAGGAAACATAAAGTATTCAAGACAAATATGAAGCAATAACAAAGTTTTGGTTTTCTTTTTTTTCCCATTGAGAAGATGTTGAAGTGGAGAGGGATCTAAGAATAGGATGACCCCCCCCCCACCCCCCCCCCCCCAAAAAAGAGAAAGAAAAAGAAAAAAAGGGAAAAGTATCATTGAAACAGATTTTAATGCAAAGAAGAGAAGGCCAAAAGAAATCACAGACAAGCAAGACAGTTTTGAAAGTTACGTGCTAAATTTATTATATACTTAAAAAGAGAAGTGTGATGTATATAATAGACAATTTCAAATACAATCCTTTTTTCTGTTTTACTGTGTATATGGATGCACACATTTTAATTGCTGTTAAATTCAGAATTTTGAAAAAGAAAAAAAAAACCCTAAAATATAAGCAACCTACAACCAATTCTTGGCTTTGCAGAATGGAACATTCTATCAAAAAATATTCTTTAGATATTTTTCAGAAAAAGGTAAACACGTTTCCAAAAGGATTTAGATACAATTCTACCTGGCAACAATTAAATGGATTAAACTTTTAAGGATTCTTTTTAGACATAAGGTTATGTAATTTTTTTCAGACTAATAGTGTGAGCCACTAAAACTCTTAGAACTATTAAACAGTTCATATCATTAATTAGAAATAGAACTAGAGTTCTGTATGTGTTTGAAATTTGTTAACCTCTCAGACTCAAAATTTTAATTTTATTTAAGCTCTAATTCAGACTATACTTCCCCATTTAAACATCAGTTTATTTTAAATGGATGACAATTCTTACCTCTATATTTGGCAGTGTTATTGTCACCTGTTCACCTTTGCCAACTTCAAGATCTCCTTCACAAGAGGTATCAATAGATGCAGGTTTAAAGTCATCTAAAAATAAAACAACACTGATTTTGACAACTTATAAAAACTACTTAGCATATCAAAAGTCAAACACGTTTCAGAAGTATTGAATAATTTTTAATAACTTCAGAAATCCAAAAAAAGTTCAATATAGCTTGTTTTTCCATATGCAGTTAAGAAAAGAATATGTATGACACATACTATTTTTAATATTTTAATTTAATATTTTAAATCATTTTATCTATTTAAAGGTCAAATTTATGGTTTTATAGATTCTAAAAATCACAGGAAATAATTTTACAGTTTCCATTGCTTAGAAAAGTTGATGTATGTAATACTTCATATACATTATAGCAAATCTGTAGCAAAGCCCCTATCTACAAATTGACAGATTAGTCCTTTTTAAAAATGCAGTACCCACCTTTCTATACTTGTGCATGGCCATTTTTCACTACCTAAGAAAATGTATCTTCTCAACTGGATTGTAAGTTCCTCTAAGGCTGAAAGTGTATTCTTGACTCACATATCTTCTCATAGCACTCTAATAAAGCACTGTACAAATACCAGGCATTGCAACCAAAACTGGGACTACATAAAATGTTAGGATTGCTTTATGGGAATCTGATGTAATGTAAGCATGATTCATTTTAATACATATGGCCAAACAATTTTGGTGGCGCTTCTGAGAAATTCACAATAGTAACATTCAGTGTTCCCTGCAAAATTAAAATGTACTTCAAGAATGATCTTTAATTTCAGATGATATTCAACAAATATTTATTTCCTAGGTAACCACTATATGTCAAGGGGTTAAGTGCTTGGGACACAAGTACAAAGAATGAAAAAAATCTCAACTCCTGAGAAACTCACATTCTAACATAGAGACACCATGTATATATAATAAGTATATAGAGAATACAAAGAGAGCCAAAAATACAAAATATTTAAATACAAGCATAGATTTAGTATGGATCTATGATTTCATGTACATAGTGAACTCCCGGAAAGGAAGCTCTACTAAAACAGATCTGAACTTGCCCTGCAACTTAGTCTTAGAGAGTTGCCTGGGGCTCTGAGAGGTTATGTGACCTGCCTAAACTCATAGAGATAAGACTTGGACCTAGGTCTTCCTTCAAAGCCAGCTCTCTATCTACTGTGTAAAATTGCCTTTCTCTGTAATGATTATCAAATATTTGCTGAAGATGCAGCATATATTCTATACTGCTTATTCATAAGCATGGAAGAGGTAGAAGAAGAGATTATACAATGAGATGGGAACTTAAGTGTCCAGGATCTCATAAGAACAAGTTATGAATGATGGTGAGAGGTTGAAAACATGACTAAACATGTTAAAACATGACATGAAAGTAGAGGTCACTGAAAGGAAAATGGATTTTTCTTGATGGCAAGGACTGCAGAAAATATTTAGTCCTCTATCTTGTTGGTCATGGGACCCAGATTTCCTGAGGACTGGAAGAATGAGAAGGGGTGGGAGTTTCTTAGGCAATGACTGAGCACACACCCTTGAGAATACTGTGGATTAATAGTTATGTTTCAAGTGTTAGAGCACAGATACTGTTGGGCTGCTGAGGTGATGGGCTCATGACTAAGGCACAGTTCCTGAGTGAGTCCAGGAACTAAAAGAAGCAATAATTAATACTTACTTTGTGACTATATGCAAATCACTTAATTTGAGAATTTTAGTTTCACCATATGTAATATGGAGGAGACACATTACTTACCTCAACAACATGATGTGGAAACCTTAAAGCACCAAATAAATATAATAGAACGTATATTCTTCTATCACTCTTGCTTTTCATTTTCACTATAAACACATAAAGTTTTATACATCACACTGATGAAGTCACTTGCTCCTGCCCAGGTTGTTTCCTCTCCTAATATATAACAGAACAGTCTGCATCTTCTCCCTATTACCTGGTCCTTAGGCATCAAAACCTTTTCATGTTTTTAAATTATTTTTTTTTTTTACTATTAGTATGGAAGGGAAACAGCAGATATGAAAAGATTCCCAAAATCCACTACCTTCAGTCTTACACATGTACTGCTGAATGAAGCTGGAAAAAATTATGAAACCAAAGGTTCACACCAAATTTAGGTCACCTAACCTAACTGATCTCTCACTGCTGCTAGGCAATTCTTTTATACCTCTCTAACTCATTATCTCTCTCGTCACAGCAGCTCTTCCAAATCTTTTCATCCTTTCTCAAACATCCATGACTACTCCTGGCTCTACTTACTTAGCTGAGAGCCTGGTCTCATGTTTTCCTGGAAAAAAAAAATAGACTAGAGCTTCTTTTCCCTTCCTCATCTCACATCACTCAAATGATTTCTGCTACCATCTTCACTTTCAACCCGTCTCACATGAAGAAGTGGCTCTTCTCCTCACCAAGGCAAACCCCTCTACCTGTACAAGTGATGTCATTCCATCCTATCTTCTCTAGCAGACTGCCCCCTTTATCATCTGCACTCTCTCACTTATTTCAATCTCTCTGTCTACTGGCTACTTCCCCACTGCCTATTAACATGCCTATGTGTTCCCCATCCTCAAAAACCTCTCACTTGATCCATGTATCCCCACCATCATCCCACATCTCTCCTCCCTTTTTGTTTTTTTTGTTTTTTTTTTGCCTAAACTGTTTGAAAATGCTGCCTGGTGCTTTTACTTCTTTCTTCTCACTCTCTTCTTAATTCTCTACAGTCTGACCTCATCATTCTACAGAAACTCCTCTCTCCAAAGTTACTAACAATCTCTTAGCTGTCGAATCTAATGGCCTTTTCTCAAACCTCATCCTTCTTGACTTCTCTTCAGCCTTTGGCATCGTTGATCACCCTCTTTTCCTTCATACTCTCTTCTATCTAAAATTTTAGGACATTACTCTCCCGGTTCTCTTCCTACTTAGTTGACCACTCTTCAGTTTCCTTTGCTGGATCTTCATACTTATCAATTCTGGATATCCCCCAGGGCTTTTTCTGGGCCCTCTTCTCTTATCCCTCTCAACTCAACTCCAGGCATTTTCACTGGCTATCTCCCATGCATGGAATGCTCTCCCTCCTTATTTCTACTTCCTGGCTTCCTTCACCAAGTCCCAGCTAAAATCCCACCTTCTACAGGAAGTTTTTCCTGATCCCTCTTAATAACAGTGCCTTCCTGATGTTGATTATTTCCAATATATCCTGCACATAGTTATTTATTTTCATGTTGTCCCCCCTCATTAGATTGGAAACTTGAAGAGCAAGAATTGCCTTTTACCTTTCTTTGCATCTCCTGCACTTAAACGCAGTGCCTGGCACACAGTGGGTTCTTAATAAATGTTTATTTACTGACTGACTGATCTTACTCTACCCAACAAGTGCTTTCTCTCTTTTTCTTTTTAGGTCCTAAGTAAGAAAGTTACACATAAATAGTAATGTTATATCTTTAAGGAATGTTCCTCTACATTTCAGATAGAACCAGAATCTATTCTAAATTATCTTATACAGATGCCTAGGAAACTCTGGGAGGAGTAATGCCAGGAGAAGAGAAGAGAACAGAAGAGAAGGAAATAGATGGGGGGTTAAGAAATAATGTTAGTACTAAGGGTGCCTCTTTGAGAGTTTGTACTAGCTTCCTCCTCCTTCTGCATGCCCAGGCCTACCACTGCAGAATCTACCACACATGAACATTTAACAAGGTGGGAGGCTAGGCTGGGAGGACAGTAGAGTCAGTCGTCTCAGATGGCACTCTTGTACTTCCTATGACTACATCTATTATCTGAATTATCACAGCATCTAGTATAATTCTACAATTATACTATTCTGCAATAGTATAATAGTATAATTCTATAATCAGTTGCTAAAATGTTGTGTAGTCCTAGTCTCTAATTGTTTCATACAACTGTTCCTCTAACAAGATTATAATTTGAGCATAGGAACTATTTCTTCCTCCTTTTGTATCCTTCAAGTTGCTATACTCACCATATACTCAATAAGCACTTGCTATACTCACCATATACTCAGTAAGCACTTATCAACTAAAATGACATACTGGAAAGGAACTATGGTTCACCAAGCTAACTATTGTTCTGATAATGGCCATGGGCCAATGTGAGAGAATACAATTATTTTCCTATGATGTCAATCTCAAAATGTCAAGGATGTATCCAACTATCACTTGTTTTCCTTAATGCCCCATTATAAGGTTATTAAAACTCTTCTATTCTGAAGAAGAAAAGGAGTTGTTTAAAGAGGCATATGTGAATTCACAAGGATTCAATCAAATTAGAATTTTAAAAGATACCTATAAAAGAAGGGAGGGCAGGTTATAAAAATGACAATCTTTTTAAGAAAAATTGCAGGAGCACCAAAGTTTAGTGATAAATGCTAATGGAAAAAAAAACAATTCTTTTCAAAAAAAACATTTTAGAAGCAAGAAAAATGTCAAAGTAGGGATAGGATCATTATTAATGGTAAATGACAAAACAGATGACATTAAAGGAAGAAAAATTCTTGAGTCTTATTAAAGGGATGGTTTATGAGCATTTTAGAAAAAAAAAAGTAGCAACAACCAAAAGCCAGTACGGCTTCAGAAAGAACAGACCATGCCAAGCTAATCTCATTTCCTTTTTTTCCTAGGGTTTCTAGGATGGTAGATTAGGGTTATGTCAATGACATACTGTACCTTGTGCATAAGGTGCTAGTAGAATTATATAAATACAGAATTGGTTGAATTACAGAGTCAAGAAAGAAGTCTTAATGAGTTGATATTAACTTGGAGAAGTATCTAGTGGATGGCCCCATGGATTTGCCCTTGGCCCTGCGCTGTTCAACATTTCTATAAATGACAAGGATGAACACATGGAGGTGATATAAGCTGGCAGAAAATAATATCACATGCTGGATAAAAGTTAGGTTCCAAAAAGATCTTGACTGGGTAGAATGATGAGCTGAATCTAATAAGATGGTATTTACTAGGGATAAATGTAAAGTACTCTAACTGGGTTCAAAGAAAATACTTTGTATTTACAAAGATTGCAGAATAGGAGAGGCATGTATGGTTAAACAACAGTTCTTGTGGGGAAAAAAAAAGCTAGGGTTTTAGAAGATGGCAGGCCCAGAGATGGGAGCCAAAAAAGCTAATGCGATTTTTGCCTGCATTAATAAATGTTGTAGATGATATAATCCTGCTATTGCCTATCCTAGACAGATCATATCTGGAATATTATGTCCATCACTAGCTGCCACATTTGACAGCTAACATTTATATAGTGCTTACTATACGCCAGGCACTATGTCAAGCACTTTACAATTATTATCTCATTTGATCCTCACAACAACCTTAGAAGGGTGGTGTTATTATCCCCATTTTCAAGATGAGGAAACTGAGGCAAACAGTGATTTGCCCAAGGTCAAATAGTAAGTGCTGAGGCCAGGGGTAGAACACTAAAAAGTCGGAGGAAAGCTGGTAGACTAGTGAGGAGACTGGAAACCAAGCCATAAAGAGAATCAGTGGAAGGAACCATGAATGTTTAGCACAGAGAACTTATTCTCTCCCTATAGTGGAGAACAAGAACGCATGACAATTTGAAGGACTGTCACATCAAAGAGGAATTAGATTTGTTCTGCTTGAATCTGGAGTGCACAACTAGGAACAATAGATGTGTCTACTTTAAAAAGGCAGATGACAGAGGTCCAGCTTAAGAAAAAAAAAAATCTCCCTAACAATTAGATTTTAGGATTTGTCCAGTAGCAGAATGGGCTGTGACTACCTCTTCATTGGTCCTCAAGAAGAGGCTCAATGGCCAATTGTCAGGGATATTCTAGACTGGATTCCTATTCAAGTATAGTTTGGATTAGGTGATTTTAGAGATTCCTTTGAATTTTAGATTCAGTGATTCTGTAATTTATAACAAACTCTCTGAAGCTAACTAGCCTGTACTCTTCATCAACAACTTAATACCTTCTTTATCTCTTATACGAGGTGTACTTTTTATTTGATCTAAAACCATCTGCTCAGGTCTACCCCTCCAATGTGTTATGATTTTATGAATTTTAATCATATCTTATGGTGAAACAGATATTTTCAAGTTTCTACATTTCCAGACTAAAACGTTCTTAGTCCTTTATCCTTAAACAGAAGCCCTATCACCCACCTGATTGGTTTGGTACCTTCTTCAGCTCTGTTAAATCTTTTCTTTCAGTTTGGCAACCATAACTACACCCCTCATTTTCAAATAAGGGAAACTGAGAAAGAGGAAGAGAAAAAAGAAAAGGAAGAAAAAGAGAAAGAAAACACCCTTGGGGGGTGGCAAAAGAGCCACTCTAGTACCCAACAAGCATAAAACCCATTCATTAGTCCCTCTTCCTCCTGTGTAGAAAGACCTCCAAGTGTTGTTGGTTTTTTTCCCCCCATAGCAAATACTTTTGAATCAAGTTCCAAATATGTGAACCTACTCTAGACAGGTAGTATTTATAAAGGCGATCTTTTTAAACTCCTGAAATTCAAATTCTTGTGAAAGTCCTCACAAGATCCATCTGGTTGGGGTGGGGGTGGTAGAGGGAGGGAAAAGAAAACAAGGCATGGGCAAGAGGTCAAGAAATGCGGTTCCTTCCCCTCCTCCCCCTATCATACCAGCACCGCACCAGCTGCCTTGCAGACAGTTCCAGGTTCGCTCAATCTCTGATTTGTTCCTTTCCTTCTACCTCAGAAGGACCTGTCTGTCCCTCGCGCGAGGAGGCAGTAGCTCCTCACCCCTAGAACAGCGAGGCACCTCCGCCCATCACTCACCTGAGCTCGGCCTGCCTGTCACCCGCCTGTCACTCAAACCCTCCCCTCCCCCTCATGTTCTCTCCTACGCCTCGGGCTTTCCAGCCCCACTAAACACCTCGGCCCGGGCCCCACCGCGGGGTGGACGCGGCAGAGAAGGCAGGGGTGAGGGCGGCCTTTCTCCACAGGAAAAAGGTGGGGGACATCTGTGAGGAAGACTCCGGAGACTGCGGAGAGCCACCCAAAGGGCCGGTAGAGAAGGCGAGGTGTGGCCCCTTCTTGCCCCACTCACAACGCACGGTGTGGAAGGCGCTGCGCGGATGCTTCTCGAAACTCTCTCCCAACTTCAGCACCCGCTCCCGGCTGTCAAAGTACGGCGCACCCGACGGCCCATTCATCCTCCTCCGCCGCAGCTAGGCAGCCGCACGCCACCTGCCACCTGGACCCGGAGCCGCAGCCTGCCGGCCTCTCGCTGCAAGCCCCCAGCTGCACACCCGGTGGGGCGCGGGGCGGAGCTCCGAACGGGCCAATGGGGAGCCTCGGAGGCACGGATTGGCTGTTGCTTGACAACCCGGGGAGAATTGGGGGTGTGGCCGTGGGAGCTTCGAGTGGAGCAGCCGAAAGGTTTTCGGTCAGCGAGCGCCCGCCGCTGGTTTGCGCAGCCGCCATTCGCCGATGGACCTGGAGGAGAGAGATTCGTCATTCAGCCGCTAGGTCTGGTGCCCCTCGCTCTGACTTGGGCGACCGCAGCCGCAGCCGCGGGTGGTCGTCTCTTGGCGAAACCCCGCGCAAGGTCGAGGTAACGGTCGCCGCAAGTTCTAAAGGGGGACGGGAACTGGGGCGGGGCGCCGTGCGGCGCGGAGGGGTATTGAGAACTACGTGACGTGACCAACTGGCGGAAGGATTTTTGGCTCCCATCCTGTGAAGGGGCAATTTCCGCCGCGTGGCATCTCTCATAGCCGTAGGGGCCCGAGCGATCCCTGACGCCGAACCGCGCAGGCGGAGCTTCGGGCGCAGAGAAGGCAAGAAGGGACTTCCTCGACCTTAATTACACAGCTGCGAGACAATTGGTGCACCGCGGATTAGGACCCAGGTCTGGGCTCGCCTTCGAGCGTCCCTTTGCACTCCTGCGCGAAACTCCCCCGTCCCCCACTCCTCGGGGTAGATAGAGCAGATTCCCCTGGGGCTGGGGGGGAGAGGCGCCTCGGTTACCTGGGCAACGCTGGTCGCCGAGCTTTGTGCGCTGAGCATGAGCCAAGGGGGGCGAGAAACAAGACTTTATCAAGCGTCAGATGTATGCCGGGCACTGCACCAATCGCTGCAGGATAGGTGCTGTTACGCCAATTTTGCATTTGAGGAAACTGGTTAAGTGACTTGCCCAGGGTCACACAGCTGGCGTCCGAGGCTGGATTTGAACTCGGATCTCTTTTGATACCTGACCCAGCACTCTTTCTACTGTGTTACCATCTGAGTAGCGTTTTGGAGACCTCCTTCCCAGTTCCTCCCTGCCTGTTTTGTCTCCCTTTCACTCCTCCTTCTTCCTTTCCTCTTCCTTAAGAAAACTGACAGGTTAAAACTGGTGAATAAGTTTATTTGAACTGTGGGTTGTCCTATGCACTTAAGTGAGGCCGTGGATAGCGTGCTGAACTTGGAGTCAGAAAGCCTCGCCCTCAAATCCAACTTTAAATGCTTAACTATGTGACCTAGGGTCAGTCACTTAGCCTCTCCTAGCCTCAGTTTCCCCATCTGTAAACTAGGAATAATAATAATAGCACCTACCTCTCAGGGTTGTTGTGATAAAATGAAATATTTGTAAAGCACTCTGCAAACTTTAAAGCACCATGTAAATGCTAGCTGAATTCACAGAATTCCATCACAGTAATTATATGGAAGTAGGGGGTCCAATCAGTAGGGAATTGTTTCCATAAAAGATAAAGGTGTGGATGTGAACTAAATAATACTGGGTGCCAAGGGATGATGGTAAAGTTCTTTAAACCTAAACAAACCAAAACTATATCCTTAGAGACAGATTTGCCCATCTTGAAAACTTTTGCATCAGTGACACTCAGTTGTGCAGTAAGTCCTTTTTTTATTGCTAATAATGATTCACCCTTTGGAAGCATGTATAATGGAAAGGGCACTAAATATGGGTTCTGGAGACTCTAATTCTAGGCACAGCTGCAGATAACTAGTAATGTGACTTACTGGAACAATTTCCTTAATCTCTTGAGGGAGCTAGGTGGCAAAATGGATAGAGAGCTGGAGTTGTGAAGATGTAGGTTCAAATGTGGCCTCAGATACCTAGTTCTTTGACCCTGGCCAAATCACTTAACTACTTTCTGCCTCAGTTTCTTTATCTGTAAAATAATAGTACCATATCTCCCTAGGTGGTTGTGAGGATAATGTGAGATAATATTTGTAAAGATCTTTGTAAACCTTGAAAGCCACATGTAAATGTTAGCATTTTTTGTCTCTTATACCCCCAGTGCCCTTATCAGTAAAATGAAAAAGTTGGGCTAGATTAACTGTGTTGTCTCTTCCAGCTGTAATTTTTTGTGTTGTCATCTAGAACTTAAAAGTTCTTAGCCTGCAGTCTTAAAATTATATATAGATCATCTCTTTAGACCAGAGCAGATTAGAAACAATCAATTAGAGGAGGTGTTGCTGCAGCAAAATTTTGAGAGACACCTAACAAAAGTAAAAACTATAAGGGAAGAAATATACTACAAAAAAATCATTATGGTATCATAATGTTATAAGCATCTGCTTATAACAATGCTGAATCATAAATATCAATTTGAAACATGTTTAGGTTATAAATGTTAAAATAAGTGTGGGGTATTTAAAAAGTGATCTGGAAAGTGCACTTATATAGAATACTTCATTTCCCATTTTTAATGTTAGGAAATGTGGTGTTACAGTAAACAAGAGTTATACTTGTGGCATAGTGGAGGTGGGACATGAGGGAAATTGCAGCCTGTCGTAAACCACCTGAAATGGAGAAAAGACTTTGTATCTTACCCAACAGTCATATAACTGTAGGTATTAATATTGATGACAAGAAGAAAAATTTCAAACTATTCAAGATATAGTTTCAGGTAGTAAATCTTAATATTAAGCAGATTCAAAGATTATTTCTCAAAACAGTTAAATTCTCTTCAGATTTGTTTCAGAAAAAAGTCCTCGGGCTTTTTTCACTTCCTAGTGAGTTATATTACAGGTAATCTGAGGTAATTTGACCTCTTGATAGGTGTGGATATTACTCTGGTTGGAGAAAATGGAATCATGTGAAACCTCTTTATTTTATGTGATTATGTTAACTGTTTGCATTCTTTCAGGACTTTGTTTTTGTAACTGTATTGCTTCCATGAATATTAATATTGTCATATCCTAATAAAATATAAGGTGTAGTCTAATCATTTAATTAATCATTGTGAACTTCAAATCACAAGATCTATGGTGGACTAGAACACAGAATCTCACCTTAAGCTGCTAGTTAGTCCAAAAAAGCTAGTTATAGGTTATCTGTGGAAAGAAAAACGAAGTCTGTGAAAGTGTGATATTTAAATATAATTTGAAATAACATGGAGAGTTAGAAGAAATGGTAGATTTTATTAAAATCCAACCAAGTTAAATTGTAATTTAAATAACACTAAATGGCCATGAGCATGTTACAAATAATATGGTAAATTATATCATTTTATATTATATAATTTTATATAAGGAAAAGGAGGAAGGGAACAAACACTATGGTCCGGGCACTGTACTAAGTGCTTTACAAATATCTCATTTCATCTTATCTACATTCTGGTCAGCAATACTCAGTAATGATTTCCCCTGTAAAACATATTGCCATTTGCTCAAACCTTAATATAGATGTTTACATGTACATATATATATTTTTCACAATTGACTAATAAGTAAATTCGATTTTTGATAATACAGTATTTAAAACAATGATTTTTTTTCCTCGATTGGTTTTGTAGTTTCATGAGAGAACTGTGTCATGAATTTTATTCGCCAGAGCTAATTGAAATCAATGTTTGTTGAATCATTGAGAAGTGAAGCATCCCCAATTCACAAGACTAATATTTGGTGGATATTTTGCTTTCTGTATTGAGAACAAATTATCATCAAGAACAACTAATGTTCTATTATTTCTACAAAATTAGCATGTATCAAAGCATCATAGACTTAGAGCTAAAGGGGTACTTAGAGTTAGTTTAGTCCATTCTCATTTTGTTTTTTAATAGACGAGGAAAGTGAGGCCCTTCTGAGGTGAAGTGACTTGCTTTTACTCCACCTATGCGAGGTAGTAAATGGCTAAGCTAAAATAAGAACCCAGGTCCTCTGACTCCAAGCATTTTTTTTCCATTGGTAGGGTTTTTGTTTCCAGCATAAGTTCTTTATTCATTAAAATATCCTCTCTGGCTGAAGGCCTTTCCATTTTCATTACATTTATAAAGTTTCTTTCCTGTATGAATTCTCTAATGAACAGTAAAATTTCAGTTCTTGTTAAAGACTTTCCCATATTTGTTACATTCATAAGGCTTCTTTTCTGTGTGAGTTCTCTGATGATAGAAGATGTTCTATAGGAGGGACTCTTCCACATTTCCAGAGATTAAGTGATACAGGCAATATGGGAGATTGGAAATCTGAAGACTTTATACAGAAAGACAAAGTGAACATACTATTTCCTTCTTTTGGTCTTAACTATAGTTGTATCTGCTCTGAACTTGCCCAGTGGAACTATTATATGCAACGCCTGCTAAGCCATATAGTGACCACTACCTGAACCTGACCAGGTGAACCACCTTATTTTTAATACCCAAGATGCTGAACTATTCACTGGACAGCTCTGGTAGTTAATCAACCAATTAGGGAACCTCTGAACAATTGTATGTGACTAATATGATTCTCTAGGGCACATAACTAAGAGTAGTTAAATAAAAGGACTGCCCTAGTTGACTGAGTCTGTAATGCTGTAAGTTTCACATACATATGGTTTCTAATTTGCAGGGATTTTCATGGGGGATTCCCCTTACTAATGGAAACTTGGAACTTCAGTTAATTAGTCTTTATCACTTTTAATAAAGCTCTTTTTGCTACCATGTCATGGTTCTTTTCCAGGTGCTCCCACAATTTCAAACCCATAGGCTCTCCCAGGTGATAACCTTTAGTCATGGAGATAATAGAACTAGAAGGTAATAGAGCTCTGGCTCCAGAGCTGATACTTTCTTCTATAATGCTAGTATATATATAGATTTTTGAATTTTTAACTGTTGATGTTACATATGTGAAATATTATTCAGCACCTAATAATCTCCATTTAAAATGTTTTAATAATATGGTACGGTAGGTCTCTTAACTGACCTATGTTATGTACCTGTTTTTATTAAAAGATAATCAGTGGGAAATGGAATCAATCACTGTGGATCCAAGGGTATTGTCTCTAGCTGCTGAGGTTGCAGAAAGCCCTGAACAGAACGTTCCTGTTATACTGTTGAAGTTAAAAGGTAAGACATCACACCTGTCAGACTGGCTAACATGACAGAACAGGAAAATGATAAGTATTGGAGAAGATATGGGAAAATTGGAACACTAAGGTATTGTTAGTGGAGTTGTGAATGATCTAACCATTCTGGAGAGCAATTTGGAACTATGTTCAAAGGGATATAAAACTGGGCATACTCTTTGACCCTGAGCAGTACCACTTGTAGGTCTGTATCCCAAAGAAATCATAAAAATGGGAAAAGGACCCACATGTACAAAATTCTTTATAGCAGTTCTTCTTGTGGTGGCGATTGTGAATTGGAAATTGAGAGGCTGCCCATCAACTGGGGAATGGCTGAACAAGTTGTGGTATATGAATGTAATGGAATACTATTGTTCTATAAGAAATGATGAGCAAGGCAGACTTGAGAAAAACCTGGAAAGACTTACGTGAACTGATGCTGAGTGAAGTGAGCAGAACCAGGAGAACATTGTACACAGCCACATTGTGTGATGACTAACTTTGATAGACTTACTTCTTAGCAATGTAAGGATCTAAGACAACTCCAAAAGGCTCATGATGGAAATGCTATCCACATCCAGAAAAAGAAATATGGAGTCTGAATGCAGATCGAAGTATACTATTTGTTCTCTTTTTTTGTTTGTTTCTTCTTTCCTGTGGTTGCTCCCATACGTTCTAATTCTTCTTTACAACATGATTAATGTCAAAATATGTTTAATATGAATGTATATGTATCATATATCAGATTGCACACTGTCTTGGGTTGGGGGGAGGAGAGAGAGGGGGAGAAAATTTGGAACTCAAAATCTTATAGAAGTAAATGTTGAAAACTAAAAATAAATAGCATTTTTAAAAATTTAAGAAAAAAAAGAAGAATTAAAAGGTAAGGAAACTTTTCTGTGGTCATTCTACAATGTGTATTTGAATAATGAAACCATAGGATCAACTTCCAAAGTTACTTTGGAAAATTATATTTTAATCATCTAATTCTGAATTGTAGATACCTAGCTTACACTGATAGTTGTTCCAGAACACATTTGCATTTTCTTTCCTGTAAATAACTGAATGGTTGAACAAAGTGCCAAACTATGTATTTTTCTTCGAATCCTTATAATCTAGTCCTATCAAAATATCGTTAAATATTGAATTATCTTTGAACAGGTCGTGATGCTTTCCAATATATTTAAAAGTTATTATTAAACAATTTTTAAAAGCTATGGTAATTGTGGTGGAAGTAATTAAATATAGCTTTGTTTCCTTTTGCCTCAGAAATATTAAACAGTGTCCCTTTGGGAAGCTCAGAATTAAAGAAGATTAAACAGGACATATATTGCTATGACCTCATTCAATATTGCCTATTGGTTCTTAGAAAAGATGTCACCAAAATCCAAGGTGGTTGGATGACTATTTCCCAGCTTGCACAGATATTAAGGTAAAGATGAAGAAATGAATAAAGAGTTAATTCTTACTGTTCTCATTTCCCTTTTCATTCTGGAATCTGTTATGTTCTTATAAGAAAAACTGGTTTTCTCCAGGAGATTGATAAATGAATGAAAGAGTAGTGATTTAGACATGTAAATCAGTATAACTTATAAAAACCTTAGGAAATCGGAGATCTAGCTCTTCTCCATCCCAACCACAGTATAATAAAATGTTACATAAGTAATTTCCTATGCTAACTTCAGCATTCTACTATCTTTAACATTTATTCCTCTTACTAAGTTGAAGATTTGCATAATAGGGAGTATCAAAAACATCGGTTTCTAGTACTTTTCCTTTTGGTAAAGTGCCAGCTAGGAGAGGGCTAGGTTTTTTTGTTTGTTTTAATGGGAGTGTTTGGAAAACTGTAGCAGTGAGCCCTTTTGTTGAAAGAGGCTTTACAGTGAAAGAGCCTACCAAAGCCCAACGAGTTCATTGTATTTACTTCTCTTTGTTTTTCACAAGCTGACTTGTACTAGAAAAGGAATTATGTATCTTGATTGCATATAGGTCTTTATTATTTAAATGTGACTCTAAAGTAATGAGACTGATTTTCTCCTTCCCTGCTTTTTTTTTTTAAACAAACATCACAAATCATATATCCATATGAATGTTGTCCATTAAAGTTGTCACTTTGGAAGGCAGTACATTTATGCTAATGGTGTCATTGCTAGCAACATGTTTAGAAATACTCTTCAGGAGTTCCCTTTTGGGGATGGTGGTTTTTTTCTTAAACAAATTTTTTGAGTATCTGCTATATGTAAAGTACAGTGCTAGGAAAGATGGAGGATAAAGGAAAAATAAGTTTTCATTCAGGACCAGATGGAACATTTTTGGTATTATCTAGCTTGAATATCTACTGTATTTTCTAATATTGTTTTCAAATGGCTTTTGAGTATTTGCAGAAATAAAATCTACCCTTAGAAGTAAAAGATTTGCTACCATTGATGTTTATTTAGAAGAATGAGATATAGGTGTTTGAGCACCGGTAGCATCATTAGAATGAACATAAATGCTAAGAAGACAAGACTCATTTGAATGTTTATGTTTTTTATGTTTGTTTAAAATAAAATCAGACTCATGGGCACACATTACATGAGAAACAAGTTCATTTGCATGGGAGAGAGAAGCATTATGGCAGGTAGGAAATTGGGGGAGAAATCTGTTGTGTTTTTGTTTTTGGTGAGGAGAGGCAAGGGTTGAATATGAAAAATGAATTGATTTTTCTAAAATAAAATAAAAAATAGTATTTTACCAACAGCCTGTGGTCAGCCACATCACAACAACCGGAAAACCTATTGGAAAAGTATTGGCTTCTTTTCTACTTGAATTTCTTTAAAGTGAAAAATATCCTTCCAGAATTAGTTTGGTCTGTGGGGCTTTTTATCCTCCCCCAAATTTTACTCTTTCTAGTATGATGAGGTACAGCTGTTTTATGAGGGGGGAATCCCCAGCACTTTTGATGTTCTTGGTACTTTCCCCCTTATGTGTGATAAAGTATATTTCTAGAATTCTCTAGACTACCTTTGTTCAAAAAAAACCAAACAAACTACTAGAAGAATTGTGTCCTACCACCCATCCTTCTTCTAAGCCCTTTAAAATTTGCCTTTTCCAAATTTAGGGTTCATGGCATACTATGTCTGGCTTTCATTTTCTCTGTCCAGACTTTATGAGGGAATGTTTGTGACTGTATACATTTAAGTTAATAGATTTTATGGCTGGCACTTTTATTGCATTTTTGTCTTACAAATTTTTGTCCTGTGAACATCTGGGTGTCTCAGATGCTATTCTTTCTTTACTGGGGTTAATGGTCTATTATATCCAGCCTGCCTTCTTTCTCCATCCTTTTTAATTTAAAGTCCTCTTGACTAGATTTGCAAGACATCCAGAAAATATATTCTTACCAGCTTTTGGTAGGTATACTCAGTTTCTAATCCAAAGTTTGTAATTTCTATATTTTAAGCCATGGTCCAGAAATCAAAACCCTATTCTCAGGTACCACCTTAGCCTAAGCAAATTTCACATCCTAAAGTAATTTTCTTTTCAGCATGGTTCGTTGTCTTCAAAAGACAGCACTGAGAATAACATAATCAGTTGCCCCCATCGTCTTTGTTTTATTTGTCCAAGACTTCATAATCATTGGTATTAATACCTCTTAGAGGGGCAGCTAGGTGGTACAATGGATAGCACTCCGGTCTTGGAGTCAGGAGGACCTGAGTACAAATCTGGCCTCAGTTACTTGACACTTACTACCTGTGTGACCCTGGGCAAGTTACTTAACCCCAATTGCCTCACCAAAAACAACAACAACAACAACAACAACAATAATAATAATAATAATAATAATGATACTTCCTAGAGGGCATGAGCTCTTTTGTTTTTGTCTTTGTATTATAAATGTCCAAAAGAGGACACTGAGGTCTACTTCAAAAAGTAGTGGGTTCTCCCTCATTGGAGGTCTTTTGGCATCTATTTTATTTCCTCCAGCAGATTGCCCTCTCTATTATCTCTGCTCTGTCCCTTATCTTAAAGTCTCTCTCCATCTTTTCTGACTGTTTCCCTGCTCCATACAAATACTCCTATGTCTTTCCTATCCTCAAAAAATCTGCCCTTGATCTATCCATCCTTGCTAGCTATCAAGCTATATTTCTTCTCCCTTTTTTGGCTAAACTCCTTTTAATAGCTGTTTACAATATGTGCCTCCACTTGCCTTACTCTCAGTTCCTTCTTAATTCTTTGCAGTTTGGCTTCTGACCTCATTATTCAACTAAACCTGCTCTTTCCAGAGTTGCCAGTGATCTCTTAATTTCCAAATCCAATGGCCTTTTTTCATTTTCAGATTTCTTGACCTCTCTGTAGCCTTTGACATTGTCAATCGCCCTCTTCTTGATAACTTTTTCCCTCTAGCTTTTTTTGACATTACTTTTTCCTGATTCTTCTCTTACCTGTCTGACTGCCTCTTCTCAGTTTTCATTGCTGGATCTTTGTCTGGGTCTTGTCCACTAACCCTGTGTATTCCCCAAGGCCCTATTCTGGTTCCTTTTCTCCCTCTATGCTATTTCACTTTGTGATTTCATCACCTTATGGGATTGAATTATCATTTCTAATCTGATGATTCTCAGATTTATTTGTCCAGCGTCTTCAACTTTCTATTGGACATCTTGAATTAGATGTCCTGTAGCCATCTTAAACTCAGTATATCCAAAACTGAACTCTTAACTTCTCCCAAAACCCTCCCTCTTCCTTACGTCCCTATTACCATAGAGGGTATCATCATCTTAGCAGTCACCCAGGCTCACAACATAGGCGTCTTCCTCAGCTTTTCACTCTTAGCACCCCTTACCTAGTCTGTTGCCAGGACCTATCTATTTTAACTTTGTAACATTTCTTTCATATACTCCGTTTTCTTTTCTGACACTGCCACCACCTTGATGCAGGCCTTCATCACCTCACCTAGACTGTTATAATAGATAGCCTCTGACTGTTCTCCCTGCCTCAGATGTCTTTCTACTCTACTCCGTCTTCCACTCAGCTGTCCTGTTGATCTTCCTAAAGCTTAAGTTTGATCATATCCCTACCACCATTCATTAAATTCCAGTGGTTCCTCCAGGATCAAATATAAAATCCACTGTTGGGTTTTAAAGACATTCATAACTTGACTCTTTCTAACCTTTTCAATCTTCTTACACCTCCCCTCCTCTTTCACCCCTCCACACCTCACAAAGTGTGCTCTGATCTAGTGACAGTGGCTTCCTTGCTGTTTCTCTAATTAGATACCCTATCTTCAGACTTGGAACATTTTCACTTGCTGTCCCCTATGCCAGAAACTCTCTCCCTCCTCATTTCTGCCTTCTGGTTTTCCTAGCTTCCTTCAAGTCTCGGCTAAAGTCTAAAGTTCTGCAGTTCTCAGTTCTCTTTAATCTTGGTGCTTTCCCTCTGTGGATTATTTCCAGTTTATCTTGTGTGAGGGTATATTTGTGTGTGTGTGTGTGTGTGTGTGTGTGTGTATATGTATGTATGTATATATATCTCTTATACATAATTGTTTGCATGTTGTCTCTCCAATTCGACTGGGAGCTCCTTTAGAGGGAGAACTGTCTTTTGCCTTTCTGTGTATCCCCTACTATGTGCACAGTGCCTGGCACATAGTAGACACTTAATAAATGCTTGTTGGCTCACTGAAGTTAGAAGACCACTGATTAGGAATGTTATGGAATGTATTTATGGTCAGATGTGCATTGGACTAAATTCTTCCCTTATCACGAATACAAATATTTAAGGAATCATTTCTTTAAAATATATTAAAAACAGAGCTCTTTTCTTTTATGTTGCTTTCCCAAATGAAGGAATGAAAGCACAAATTTTGGAGGCGTCAGCACTACAGAGAAACATCAGTAGCCTAGCTAGTATTAGTACTCTTATTTTCCTGATTTCCCTTTGAGTTTAACTTTTGTATTTTTCAGATGTTAATTTTTTTTTTCAAGAAGAATTGATAGATACAAATATCACATGATATATTTCCACTTTTGAGTGACTTAATGCCTCTCTTGTGTGTTCCTTCAAGTCAGACACACCTCACGTGATTGCTAGGTGCTCAGGACATCTAGATTTAACTAGTGCTAGATTTAACTATTGGTGTGATCTGTAGTCTGTTTATTTTTCCTAAGTAAGTTTACTTTTTCTGAAAGTTACCAATATGATTTTGAAGGAAGAGCCCTTTGTTTATCAGGCAATTGTGACAGAAAAAGGATGCTAAGGAATTGTGACTAAAAAAGTTCAGTATTTTTGATAGTTTTAATTCTCAACTAACACTTGTAGTAAGTGCAAACCAAATCACACAAAACTATGTTCTTGTTTTAGCCAGTGCTGCGTGGGCTTGGAACCAACAGAAGATGCGGAAGAATTTTACAATAAGTTACTTCCTTCGGCTGTAGAAAGTGTCCTTGTTTTAGGGAGACTGTTGCAAAAATATTACATCAGTGCAGTTGAGGTATGTGCATATGTTCAGCCTTCTGAAGACATTTCTGCTAAGAAAAAATATTATTTTTTCAGTACATATTTGTTGGAAAGTAAGAATAAAAAATAAAGTGGCAGGTTGTAACATTTTTTTGATTTCAGCCAAAGAGAAGAAGGTGAGAGAAGGCCTAAACTTGAAAGTTGTAAAATTCTAGTTGGAATGGAATAAAAAGGAAACTATAGCTATACTTTAAGGCTGCCTTCTCCCATTCATCTTCATAACTGTCCAAAGGAATGTTTGTTTCCAATGTCTATTTAAAGCACTGTTTTAAATATTTTTGTATAAATAGGTCCTTTTCTCTCTTTTTGGATGTCTTTGGCATGCAGACCTAGCAGTCACAGGGTATGCACAGTTTTGTAGTCCTTTGGGCATAGTTCCAAATTGTTCTGCAGAATGGTTGGATTAGTTCACAATTCCACCAATGCAATAGTGCATTAGTGTCCCAATTTTCCCACATTTCCAGCCTTTATCATTTTCCTTTTCTGTCATATTAACCAATATGTTAGGTGTGAGATAGTATCTTAGAGTTGTTTTAATTTGCCTGATCATTTATCTGATCAGTAATGATTTAGAGCATTTTTCATGTGACTACAGATAGCTTTGATTTTTTTGCCTGAAAACTGCCTCTTTATATCCTTTGATCATTTATCAATTGGGGAATGACTTATATTTTATAAATTTGACCGAGTTCTCTATATATTTGAGAAATGAGGCCTTTATCAGAAATATTTGTTGCAAACATTTTCCCCCAGTTTTCTGCTTTCCTTATAATTTTGGTTGCACTGGTTTTGTTTGTGCAAAAACTTTTTAATTTCATATAATCAAAATTATTTTACATTTTGTAATGCTCTCTATATCTTCTTTAGTCCTAAATTCTTCCCTTATCCATAAATCTGACAGATAAACTATTCCATGCTCTCTTAATTTGCTTATGGCATCACCCTTTATGTGTCAATCATGTACTAATTTTTACCTTAACTTAGTATATGGTGTGAGATGTTGGTCTACACCTAGTTTCTGCCATACTGTTTTCCAGTTTTAACAGCAGCATTTGTCAAACAATGAGTTTTTGTTCCAAAAACTTGAATCTTTGGGTTTATCATGTACTAGATTACTGTGGTCATTTACTATAATGTAATTTGTAGCTAGTCACTTGGGAATTTTTAAGGAATTTAAGGATGAGATTGAGGAACTGTTGGCCAGATTACCTAAACTGTGATTATAAATAGCCACTGTACAGGCATACCTTATCTTATTGGGCTTTGTTTTATTTTGCTTCAAAGATAATTGTTTTTTTTTGTTTTTGTTTTTGTTTTTCACAAATTGAAGGTTTGTGGCAACCCTGTAATTGAGCAAGTCTATTAGTGATATTTTTCCAACAATATGTGCTCACATCATGTCTCTGTGTCACATTTTGGTAATTCCTGCAACTTTTTCATTATTATTTTATCTGTTATGGTGATCTGTGATCAGTGATCTTTGATGTTACTCTGTAATTGTTTTTGGGGTGCCACAAAGGAGGCCCATGTAAGATGAGGAACTTAATGAATGTTATATGGCGATTGCTCCACTGACTGTTCCTCAGTCTCTCTCCTTCTCCTCAGGCCTCCCTATTCCCTGAGAAACAACAGTATTGAAATCTGGCCAGTTAATAACTACAATGGCCTCTTAAGTGTTCAAGTGAAAGGAAGAGTCAATCAATGGGGCAAACTTCATTGTTGTCTTATTTTAAGAAATTGCTGTAGCCACCCCAGCCTTGATCACCCTAGCCACCCTGATCAGTCTATAGCCGTCAATATGGAGACAAGACCCTCCACTAGCAAAAAGATTTTGACTTGCTGAAGGCTCAGATTATGTTTAACATTTTTTAGCAATGAAGTATCTCTTAATTAAGGTATGTACATTTTTTAGACGTAATAATATATTGCACACTAATAGTCTATAGTATAGTGTAAACATCACTTTTTTATGTACTGGGAAACCAAAAAATTTGTGTGACTTGCTTTATTGTGGTGGTCTAGAACTAAACCTACAGTATGTCTGAGGTATGCCTGTATTGCAGTTTTGTAGTAATCAGAATTAGTGAAGGGCTTTGAGTTTATAGCATATGATGATTCCTTGAAAGAACTAAAGAAGAGAAACCTAAAGAAGAGAGAGTTCTGGGAGACATAGCTCCAAGTATTTAAAGGGCTATTGTGTGAAAGAAGAATAAATTAGATTTGTTCTGCTTATCTCTAGATGTCAGAATTAAGAACAGTTGGTAGAAGCAGAGACACAAATTTAAGGTTTGATACGAAGAAAAATTTGCAAATACATAGAGAACTATGCAAAAATAGAAAAGCCTTTCTCTTTGAGTAGTGGCTTCCCCTCATTGGAGATCTTCAAGCAAAGTTTAGATGACCATTTGTTGGGGATATTGTAGATGGGATTTTTACTAGGGTATGGGTTGAAATGGATATCTAGAAGAAGAATTCCAGAGGGTACCTTGATAACCAAAACCCAGTGAATCTCACTTACAGGAACATATTCTCAGACTCGGTTGTGAGGGTGCTTTGGGAAATGCCATAAGGTGGAAGACAACTACTTTACAGGGAATGTTGTAGAAGAGATTCTGGTCTAGATGAAGTTGAACTAGATGGTTAAGAGGTAGTGTGGGACAATGTCAAGAATATTGACTCTGGGGTTAGGACTTGAGTCTAAATCTTACCTTACTGCCTGTGTGACCTTGGACAAGTCTGTTAACATCTCTGAGCTTCAGAAGAGGGAATGTACTGTATAGCCAACCTTACAGCTATTAAGATTTATGATCCTGTTCAGTACTTTCAAATTTTGAGATTCTGTAATTCTAAAACCTTGTATTTTTCTGGACTTAAAAAGTTTTCACATCATTTTCATGTACATTATCTTTTTATCCTCTCAACTAGTATGTGCTGGGAAGGTGGAGTTAGCCATATTTTATAGAAAAAAAAGAAGCTAAGGCTCAAAAGTTTTTGTTGCTTAAAGTCACATAATTAGTAAATGGAATAGCTTGAAATAGAACTTATCTTCTCTGACTCCCAGGTAGAGCTATATTAAAGTTGCTGTCTTTTCTTTGCATTAAGGATGAAGAAAAAGGTGAATTCTTGTGGCATTTCCAGAGTGTGATAGACTCTCTGTGCTGGTTACTAGGAGGGCATATTCAGCTCACTCAATATGGTAAGAGAAGATTAGGCAGGTAAGCACAGAACAAAATAGCAACTAAATGGTCATTATAGATTTTAATGCCATTACTAAGAGTCCAGATATTATTTTTTTATTATTCGTATATACATAAATAATATATATATATACACACACACATATACACGTATATTTTTTTCTGTAACTTAACAGATACTTAGTAAAACATCCTTGAAATAACCCTACCAATAGAAATTTGTCTGTATGGATTACTCTTGTGTTAAATTTTTATTTATAGAATGAATATATTATGTTGGTTGGAGATGGTACCAAAGTGAAATTTTCTTGTATCTACATTTTAGTCAGTCACTAAGCATTTATTAAGTGCTTACTATGTGCCAAGCACTGTCCTAAGCCCTGGGGATATAAAGAAAAGCAAAAACAGTCCCTACTCTCAAGGAGTTAACATTTAATAGCCTGATGTTCTCAGAAATGATCATTGGGGGTTGTCTCAGCTTTAGAAATTGGCTTGTCTTTCTTTTATAATTCTTTGATTCTGGAAGGCAAAACATTGGTTTTAGGGCTAAGATATAAAAAGAGTTACTAATAGTTGAGTAGTAATACCAGATAGACCCAAAAAGATCAAAGGTAGACAGATTTAGACAGAATTTAAAAGTAGAATTTTGTCTTTGGTGCCCTTATCTCCCTTTCTACGTGCCCCAATCCTCATAAGCACAAAGTGCCTTCTAGCTGCCCAAAATCTCCACTGTAGTGTCTGACCTAAGTTGACCATCCACATGAAATGTATTCTGCTCAGAAATGTCCCTTTTCTCCTCTACCTGCAACCTAAATAATCTTGGGTAAGTGTTTTGAGGAAATTTATTTAATTCACAATAAAATATGAATGATAAATAGCTTGCAAGTGCTGATTGGATTGGAATAGCTGCCTTAACCCTCCTATTTGCATTTTAATTTTAAGAGAGGAACTGTTTACTCAGTTCTCGAATTGGTGAAATTTTAGACATTATGAGAGGAAAAAAACACATAGTCTGAAAAGTTGGAAAGGGAAAAATATAATAACTGACATCTACAGCATTTTATATATATTATCTCATTTGAGCTATATAACCACCCTGTGGGGGTTTTATTATCCCTTTTTTACAACTGAGGAAGCTTAGGAGAGAAACAAGATTACTTGTAGATTTCTAGGCCTTCTGCCTGCCTGAGGGAAGAGGATTACTTCTCTCCAATCAGAACTTCAATTCCCTTAATGCTCAATGATCTCAGCAGAGTGCTAGGAAGTAAATAGTTTTCCTACTGGAGGCCAAATAATTGATATTGTCTTTCTATTCCCTTGGTTCCTTTCTGCTCCACCCCACTCCCCCCAAAAAGTCTACCAAGTATATTTACATTTTAAAAGAGGCTTATTAAACCAAATGAATCTTTATCCCAGGATTTGGGAGAGTTATTTTGGTACTGGGATCCTTTCTATTATCTCTTAAAACATTTGCCTAGGTTGCCTTCTAGAGGTAAGTCATGTCCTTGAGGAAGAAATGGAAAGTGTTTTCCTTAGGAAGAAGTAACAACTTTCTTTATCTGTATCTTTGTTGTAGCTAACCTCTCCATCCTGACCTTCCTCCTTCCCCCTCACAATGTTCTTCAGACCCTGGGTCTTCTGAGCCCAGCTTCTAAAGCACCTCTGTTTCCTTCCCAGATTCAGCTCCTGCCCTTTTCCTAGATTATCTTGACTTCAGGTCTCTGCTTTCCAGGATACAGGTTGATGTTGTAAGACAGGAAATTTGAAGGATCCTTTATGCAGAAAAACAGGGTGAACAAAGGGCCTCTCTTATTGTAGTGGTAACTGCCTTCTGAATTTGGCCAGCAGAACTAGCAGCCATCTACCTTGCTAGGTAGTAACTACTTGACTCCAGTTGACTCCAGTTTTCTAGGAGCTGCTTGATGGCGTGAAGACTCATTATTATATACCCACATATGGTCTGGCTAGAAAGGATTTACCCAAATGATACTTGTTGGGAGCTTCTATCCATGTTGAGCCAATGATGCCAGAAAGTTCAGAAAAAAAGGCTGCCATTTCATATGATCTGTACTGGGGCTTCTCATGCTGTTAGAAACGTGAGCTCCCCATTGAATAAAAACATTTTTTGTCATCATGTTGTGATTCTTACTGACCTCTTGCTCCCATGATTAGAATCTAGGGTCTCCGTGTCCTACAGCCTTCCCTATGAATGCTTCCCTAACAGAAGTGTCTTCAATCCCAAGCTTGCCTAAGGTGAAGTGGACTCTGACAAAGAAGGGTATATTCCTATTGTCTAGCACAGTGCATGGCACATGGTAGGCACTTAATAAATACTTATTGCTTGATTAGGAGATGGAGTGTGATCAAAGGAGCTGGACTCAGCTTTCATTTTTTATTGTTCATACAGTTTAGTAAAAAAAAAAACAATTCTACCAAAATAATAGTACCAATTTAGTGATAGTACCAATCAAATTACTAAAATACTTTATGTATAATTAGACAAAATAACAAAAATAAAGAGTACTAAAGAATGTTCTTAATGTAGGAAGGGAACAAGAGGTTTGGTACTGGTTTTGAATAAAAAATAGAAAAGTGAATCAATGGAGCAGACTAGATAAACTTGACCTAGAAACAAGCGTGCCCTGAAGTCTACTGTTGCTTACACCCAAGAAAAACAAACTGCTGGGAGTTTATTTGTCAAGAACTACTGGGAAACCAGAAAGCAGGTTGGAAAAAATAGCTTTTGATTAACATTTTATCCATTGTACCATTAAAAAAAAATGCAAGTAAACTATTTAACTATAAAAAGGCATAGCATGGAAATTAAGAGAATTGAAGATACCTTTCATATGTATAGTTGAAAAATTTGTAACAGATAGATAATCTCAATGAATAAAATGCAGCCAGATTCAGAAGAAAATATAAAGATTAGGGGGAAAAATCTTTGCATTCAATTCTGAAAGTTTGATATTGAGACTATAGAAAATTAATACCATCTATAAGATTATGAACTGTCTCAAAGGAGACTAATGATGAGAAGATATAAACACTTTTCAAAGGAAGAAATCCTAATTGTCAATAGTACTTGAAAAAAATGTTTAGAACGATTAATAATCAGAGTATGGGCAGCTGGGTAGCACAGTGGATAGAGTGCTTGGCGTGAAGTCAGGATTTATCTTCCTGAGTTCAAATCCCGCCTCAGACACTAACTGGCTGTGTGACCCTGGGCAAGTCACTTAACCCTGTTTGCCTCAGTTTCCTTATCTGTCAGATGAGCTGGAGAAGGAAATGGCAACCTACTCTAGTATCTTTGACAAGAAAACTTCAAATGGGATCACAAAGAGTCAGACATAACTGAAACAATTGAACAATAACAATAATCAGAGAAATGTTCTTAGGCTCCTAGCCATCAAGCTAGCAAAGATTCTTGGAGGAGCTATGGGCACACAGATTCCTCTGGGTCTACATTGCAAGAAAGTTACTAAGATCAAGAAAAGTCCCACTCCCATAACTAGAAAAAATGTCCATAGAACCATTATTTGAGAAAACAGAAAATTAAACTGTATCTGTACTCAGTGATTGGGAACTAGTTGAACAAATTTTGGTGTGAGTGTAATGGAATATTACTACATTCTAAGTCACAGCAGATATAAAGAATTCATAGAAACATTAGAAGACTCATAATGAAGCAACATAGAGTGAAGGAAGCCAAGCCAAAGAAACAATACATACTGTAACTATAACACTCCAAAGACAATGTGGAAAGGCAACAAAATAATCAGTTACGGTAGTCAGTATCCTTAGTACCATAATGCCACACTATCAAAGTTAGAGGTATTTCTCTCCTTTTTTCTAACAATAAACTAACTTTTGGAATGAACTTTTTAAGGATTTTGTTTGGTGTTTGTTGGGTCGTCATTAATTCTTCAGAACAAAATATCAAATTTTTAAAAACTAAATAAACATACTAAAATAATATTAACAGTTGCACTAGCCGGGGCAGCTAGGTGGCCCAGTGGATAGAGCTCTGGCCTTGGAGTCAGGAGGACTTGAGTTCAAATTCAACCTCAGACACTTAAAACTTACTAGCTGTGTGATCCTGGGCAAGTCACTTAACCCTAGTTGCCTCACCCCCCAAAAAAAAGTATGTCAGGGCAGCTAGGTGGCCCAGTGGATAGAGCTCTGGCCTTGGAGTCAGGAGGACCTGAGTTCAAATGTGACCTCAGATACATAGCACTAACTGTGTGACTCTGGGCAAGTCACTTACCCCGATTGCCTCACCAGAAAGCAAGGAAAAAAAAAAACAGTTGCACCAGCCACAACACAGCAAATTTCCAGATAGAGTAAAATGAATAAACATTCCAGGAATTAATAAAAATCAAATGCACAAAAATGGCACAAATGGAATTAAAGTAGGGCACAGCTAAAGAATTTTGGAATGAAATAATGAAACAGTTTGGAAATGGCATAGGAAATATAAAAACATCAATAGAAACTATTAAAAACAAAATATAATGGAGGATAAAATAAATGAAGGCATTTCAGTTCAATTCAGAAAAATCTTAGAAGATAATTCAGCTGGAAAAGGGCTAGATAACAATTTCGGTAAAAGTGATGGATTTGAAAGACTAATCAAGAAGGAACCTCATAATCATCAAGGTTTCTGGAAAACAAATAGAATCTGAAGCCAGGCATGGTGACCCATGCCACTAGTCTCTGATGCTGGACAGGTTGAGACTAGTGAGTCACCTAAATTCTGAGTTGCAATAGGTCTAAAACCAATCAGATACCTACATTTAAGTTTAGCATGAATATATTTATATGGACATTTTTCATGTTATGAGAGAGGGACTTTTCTGGAAGTTAATAGCTTCCTTGGGATAGAGTTCTAGTAATAGAATCTCTGGGTCTAAGAAAGAAAGAATTCATACCCTAAGAAAGTGAAAATAAAAATTCAACTTACATTATATTCACAACATTTAAAATTGCAACAAAGAAAAAAGCGTTCAAATCTGCCAGAAGAAAAAAAACACATCACTTAAAAAGATCAAAAGAGAGCTATTGAATCCCATAATATTTTCATAATAAGAAATGACAGAAATAGGAATAATCTATATATAAAACTTTGAAACAGGCATGCTTCAATTTCAGGATCATTTTCCCAGAAAATCTAAGCATTCTTTTTTAAAAAATTATTATGAACTAGAAAATCAAACATGTTAACATCCCCATATACAGAGAAACTAGAAAAAGGATTACAAATGAAACTCAGTCTATTACATATGGCTGTTAAAAAAATGTATGAAGTTTAAAATGGAAGTACCAGTAAAGCCCTGCTTATCAGTGGCACCTTTGAACTTCCTTAAGCATTTTTTTTAAATGAAAGAGAATCATTTAATCAAGAATACTTTAAACAGTTCATGAAGTTTAAAAAAAACTCATAATGTAAGTTCATTGATCTGTGGTAGTTATGAATTTTAAAATCAGAGTTCATACAATCACTAAAACTGGTATGATTTGTATTTATGGTTATGAAACTGTTGGCCTTTAGAAACCTTATTGTAGAGCAGACCTGCACGACTTGTAAACTTCTTCGGGCTGCAGATCGGTTAGATTAGAGACAGACAAATGATGGTTGTTTGCTGTGGTCATGTGACAAACAGGAAAGTACACAGTGGCAACCTTACATTTTTCAGAGGTACTGAAATCTTTGGCGGGCAGCAAGTGACCCTCGGGCAATATGCTGTGCAGGCCTGTTGTAGAGTATAAAGAGCAGGAAGTACTGTATTTAGACATTGATAAAGTTTTACTGCTGATGGGTCACTTGAAGCTTGATATTTGCCTTCTCGGTATTCATTTCTTTGATTTTTTCCTTTTTTCTTCTATTCCTACAGTACTACAAAGTGATCATTATTTACATTTGTTGCTAACTGATGATGTTGAAACAGGATCTGCAGTCATGACTGTACTACAAAACATCTTACAAGTCAAAAGGTAACTTGGTTCACTTTTTTTTCCTCTGAAGTGTATTTAATTTCTATCAATTTTTAGGAAGTAAACTATTTTATATTCTATGTGCCTGACACTTGAGAAATAATAACAATATTTGTCACAGAAAAAAAAAAAGACAGAATCATAGGGTGCTGAAAACTTAATATGCAAATGGAACTCTTTTTTCTTTTGGAGTCCAGAAGTGCCAGAAGGTAGTACTTCCCAAAGCATGATCAGAACAGTAGGTGTTCCTTTTCTCTCCCCAGTATGTGTAGAATGGTCAGGAGCATTATGTACAATCCTGCTTTATACAGTCCGTTTATTTTTTTATTTTTATTTTTTGCTTTTTGGTGAGGCAGTTGGGGTTAAGTGACTTGCCCAGGGTCACACAGCTAGTAAGTGTCAAGTGTTTGGTCTGAGGCTGGATTTGAACTCAGGTCCTCCTGACTGCAAGGCCGGAGCTCTATCCACTGCCCACCTAGCTGCCCCTATGCAGTCCATTTAGTAAATATTAATTGAGCACATGAAGTGCTCAACAAAAGAGTATTAGTTACTGTGGAGGAATACAGAAGAAAAGAGGGCTCAATCAGTTTGGTGGCTTGGTTGCAGTTTAGTTGGCGAAACTAAGCATATAAACCTCAAGGAACTAACAAACAGTTGTGAAGTGGCACTTGAATACATTGTAGAGTTGAAGCCAGTTAGAACCTTAGAGGTCATGATGATACCATATTCATCACTTCTAATGGGGCATCAAGTAAAAGAGACATCAAATTGTGGTGGGATTAGGCAGTGAAAATATTTTGGGGCAGTAAATTTTTAAACTGGATCTTGAAAGAGGTTATGAGCTTGAATTAGTGGAGAGGGCCTCCCAGTCAGAAAGAAAAAAGCTTTAGAAACTGGAAGACTTGTTGGGGAACAGTCAGGAGATTGGTCTGGTTAGACGATCATCCTGTATACTAGATTGCAAAAGATTGAAGATGGAGTGGGTGGGAAAAAGTGGTAATTGTTGTTTCAAATAGTCATACCATGGCCAGGTCTATCAGATTTGTTAAAGTTTTCTAGTCATTATCTATACAGTTCATTTGGCATTTAATGATGTACCTGCTTAGTCCATCATTCTCCTCTTCCCCCCCCAGCCCCCTCCACATTCTCTTGTACCTCTACTCCAATCCCCTGGCCACCCAGACCCCATAGGGCAGCTGGTCAGGAAGAGACATTGCTCTTGGAAGAGATGAGAAATATCTGCTTTAATACTTCAGTGAGATGGAGAACCAAGGCTTACCATCAGCCTAAGGCCCTCTGGGCCTTACCATCTGCCATGCCTCTTTGCCCTTCATACTCCCCCTAAGCACTGTCATGCAACCTACTGATGTACCCTAAGGACTCCTGGGTCTTTCCATCCACCTTCTCACTGCATCCTTAGGACTTTAATCCACTTTGTAGCTGAACTGTATATGTTATCTCCCCTAATTAGGGTATGAGTTCTTGAGATCAGGGACTCTCATTTTTTTCTGTTTGTATCCCCAGTAGATTTAGCACAGTGATAAATGCTTAATAAATGTTCATTCGTTAATGGTGCTTTGTAACATTTTCCTCTATTCAAGACAGTGTCGCAAAATAGTGCATGATTAATTAGCTAGATAAACTGTATAGATAATAACTGTAGGGCTTAAACATGTTTGATTAACATGGTAACAGTATAACTTGAATTGAGCTGTCACAAGGCAGTAAATAATTAATTGCTAAATATTTTATCATCATTTAAATTTTTTCTTGTCTCCACCTAAATCACAGCCTCCTTGAAGGGATAGACCTTGATTTATATATTTTTTATCATTAGCAGTGCCTAGCATGGTACTTTGCACATAGCAGTCAAAAAATACTTGTTGATAGGAGCTGTTGAATCTTTAGAGCCAAGCAGTGTATTTCAAGATCGGTAATCTCCATTAAATCAAACTACTGTTTTGTGGTCAGTTATCAGAGAAGTGGAACTTTTATGAAATTAATTTTAACATGTGCTTCAGCTGCTAATGTTCTTTGAATTTCTTTTTGTTTTATTAGTGGAGACTTGCTCACAATAAAAGAAAAAGCCCTTCATTCAATTTTAGATGAACTTATTTTTAAGCTTTCATCTTCAACGAGTCTTATCATTGGAAGTATTGCTATAAAACTGTTGCTGTTGGTGGCCAAATCCCAACCAGAAATTCTAGTGCTGCTAAGAAGTCGGTATACAGGTAATGTATACAATATTTTTTTGATCTTGAGATTGGTAAAACAAAAGCATTTTACCAATGGGTATTTGAATGGAAGTGCAGCTGTTATGAGAAAGAAAAAATTGAGGTGTACCAGTAAAATACCATTTCTTTGTCCTAACAGATGGCCTGCCTCTAGTGCTTTGCTGACATTATGGTGACAAATTTTCCATCCATATCATTATTTTCTAAAAAATGAGCCTGGAGTAATGTTAGAGGGCTAGCCTTAGAGTCAAGAAGATCCTTCTGGGTTTAAATCCTGCTTCTAAAATATGTTATGTCTGTGATCCTGGGTTAGTCACTGAACCACATAGTATTCCAGGCAAATCTTTTTTTAAAAATTTATTTATTTTATTTTATTTATTTATTTTTATTTTACTTTTTTAAAAAATAAAAATAAATCATTAAAATAAAAAAAAATAAAATATTTTAGTTTATTTATTTTTAGTTTTCAACAATCACTTCCATAAGCTTTTGAATTTTAAATTTTCTGCCCCTCCCTCCCCAAGATGGCATGCAGTCTGATATAGGCACTACATATACATTCCTATTAAACGTGTTTTCACGGTAGTTGTGTTGTAAAAAAGAATTAGAACCAATAGGAGGAACCACAAGAGAAAAGAAACAAAACAAAACAAGAAAAAAAAAGAGCAAATAGTATGCTTTGATCTGCATTCAAACTTCATAGTACTTTCTCTGGATGTGGATAGCATTTTCCATCAGGAGACTTTTTGAGATATCTTAGGTCCTTGCATTGCTAAGAAGAGCTAACTCTATCAAAGTTAGTCATTGCACAATGTGGCTGTTGCTGTGTACAAGGTTCTGGTTCTGCTCACTTCACTCAGCATCAGTTCATTCAAAGTCTTTCCAGGTTTTTCTGAAATCTGCTTGCTCATCATTTCTTTTTTTAAAAGTTTTTTATTAATTAATACTAATTAATTTATTGATTTATCAATAATCACTTCCGTAAACTTTTTGAGTTTAAAATTTTTCTACCCCTTCCTCCCCACCACCCTCCCCAAGACAGCACACATTTGATATAGGCTGTACATTTACATTCCTATTAAACATATTTTAACAGTAGTGATGTTGTAAGTAAAAATTAAAACCAACAGGAGGAACCATCAGAAAGAGGAAACAAAACTCAACAGAAGAGAAAAAAAATTGCTCATCATTTCTTATAACACAATAGTATTCCATTACATTCATATACCACAACTTGTTCAGCCATTCCCCAATTGATGGGCATCCCCTCAATTTCCAATTCTTTGCCACCACAGAAAGAGCTGCTATAAATGTTTTTGTACGTGTGAGTCCGGGCAAATCTTTAAGACTTTAAGTTGCAGGACAGTTGCAGGTCTGCTTTAATTAAGGAAGTTTTTATGTTGGGACTTCTCTAGACAAATGAAATCACAAGTTGGGGTACAGAGGGGAATTCTAGTGGTACCTGATTTTGTTCTCGACACAGCAGATAGATAAGGAGAGTAACTGAAGTATAATTGAGCTTTTCATGATACTTTTATTGTTTCATCAAGTAGCAGTTATCCTTCAACTTTCTTAGCCAGTCTATTCCCTTCCCTCTCCCTTGTCCCTAACACTGGTGTGGGGGGGAGAGGAGAAGGGAGGAACAACTCTTAAATAACACAGTAGATCAAGAAGCTAAGAGGAGAGGTTTGAGAGAGTTTTTCTTTGCCTTTCCCTTTGGCCTTCTAACTTTATAATTTGCCACTTGTGACTTTCTGTTCCATCTCCAGTTCACACAAATGAGAATAATGTATTTAATCCAATAAATTCTGTTACTTAATATTCTCAAAAATAAGGAGCTCTGGTTAATTATGCATTCTTAGATAAAATATGAATTTTTTTTGCTATTTTAGATAAGAATTTTATTGATGTCTCTTGTTTTTATATCCCATTAATTTCCAAATCTTACCTCTTCCTTCACCCCTCTCCTGAAAGCCATCCCTTGTTACAAAGAATAAAAGAGGGGAAAAAAACAATTTAGTTAAATTGTTAAATTAACCAAGACATTAACCAAAACTGATAGTATATACCATTAAACCATAGATTTTGAAGGAACTGCAATGTAGTATTTGTATTAGAATCCAAATCTACTTAACACTAAAACAATAGTGAATATAATTTATGTGAATATAATATAAATTATATATAATATAATCATATGTAATTTAATGATCCAGAAATCACTTAAGGAGGCTGGCACAGCCAGAGTCATTAGTATGAACATCATTTAGCTTTGGGTGCCACAGTCATGGGGGCAGCTAAGTGGCACAATACATAGAGTGCCATATCTGAAGTCAGAAAGACCTAAGTTCAAATTTGGCCTCAGACACTTACTAGTTGCATGACCCTGGACAAATCACTTAAGCCTGTTTTCCTCAGTTTCCTTATCTGTAAAATGACCTGGAGAAGGAAATGGCAAACCACTCTAATAGCTTTGCTAAAAAAAAAAAAAAAAAAAAAACCCAAAAATGGGGTCACAAAGAGTCAGACACAACTGAAAACAACTAAGTAATAACAGCTTATGGGTATGAGGTTTGTATAGGTAAGGCGGGATAGCTAGAACTTTAGGTTATAATGCTGAGGAGAAAATGCTTAATTAAAAGTTCTCAAATTACAAAATATGAATGCTCCATGGAACTTATTATAATAGAATTTGACCATAATTTTTCTTGCTTTTTCTAAATAGTATCTGAGTAATGTTAGTTGTATATCCCACCCAGAATTTTTGGAATTATTATCAGTGTTCAAGACTTGTCCAATGAAGAGATTCTGAAGCCTAGAAAAGATTGGCTATCTCAAAGGAAATTACACCAACACTGGAAAACCTGACTTTGGCAATTGTGCATGCTACATTGTCTTTCTCACCGGTGGAAAACACTAATGTGCGTTGGGCATATGTATTGAACACCTTATGACTTATCTCTATTTTACCTCTTAGAGATAGAGTTAGAGAATTTACATGGGTACTTTTCTCAATTGAGAAAACAGAGTCACCATCAATATTACAGCACCTCTCATAATAAAATTTTGGATGTTGCCAAGGAGCCTGTGGATTTGCTAGAAACTGCACAGGAGAATAACATCTTTACTTAACTTAGACCCTTCCTTTAGTACTAACCATATGTTAGTCACTCAGTACATTCTTATTTCTGTGTGTCCTCAAGCAGAGACATGTGCCTGTTCTTCATCTATACCTCTACTTAGTGGTTTCTCCTATATTTGGGTTCATTGATGGATTTAAATATACCATCTAGTAACCCTCAAGTCAGTTACCTTGGCTTTTATCAGGATAAGGATAGAAAGAATCTCGACACTTTAATTTTGACACTGAGAAAGGGAAAATACGATGGCTTTTTTTTTTAAATTTAAAAGTCTTAAATTTGATAGAAATGCTTTTCTGATAATTAGCTGAAGAACAATCTGTTTTAATCTCAGAATGCCTTTGAAAATTAATTTCTAGGACTTAAAAGTATGCTAAATAAGCAGTGGTCTGGGAAAGAAATTGACCAAGAACTTAAACAGCTTCGCAGTCTGTTATCTTCTGAAGTCTACCAGGAAGAAGATCAGGTATTGAATAATTAACACAATATGTTTGTTAATTGATTTGACTTTTTTATTTTCCGAATTCTCTTCTAATTCTTTTAGTAAATATGCTTCTCTTTGAGAAATGTTATCAGATTGGTGAGGTCTTTGCCCCTCAGATTAATACTCCAGTCTACAAATACATATCATCCTATTTATAATTAACTCTAAACTGTTAATATTTTGATTTCAAGTTACAGTAGACTATTCAACTCACTGCTTTATGGCCTATAGATGCTACTATATCAGCTGTCAGAATTTGTACAAAAATATTATCTTATCAGTACCTTTTCTCCTTTCACTTAGGATCATTTCATCATTCTTTTTGCCTTTCAGTTTAATAGACATTTTGCAAATATGCGTATTTGTTACAACCTGCATTGATTATAACTTGCACTTTTTAAAAAAATATTAAGTGTTGAACTTAAGCCCTCTAAAAGAGCATTTCCAAAGTTATAGCAGAAAAATGAAAAGAAGACTGCCTATGAAATCATGCATCTCTTATTTCATACTACTTTTTTTTTAAAGTATACAATAAATTCCACATAATACTTTCAAAGCTGTTCTCCATGTCTGTACTTCTTTCTGAATTTCCTTTTGTTTTCTTCTGTTCATTTTTTGAAAAGTTTCAGTGGCCCTCTTTTTTTGGCGGTGAGGCAGGCATCAGTATTGCTGACTCCTTCTCTCCCCTCAACGCACGCGATAATTTAAAAAACCTAGAGAAAGAAAAAATTCTTGTAACAAATAAGCACAGTTAAGCAAAAAGGGTCCACACAGTGGTCTTGTATGGTGTGTAGTGATCTTGACTAAGTTTCTTGGTACTTGAATTGCTTTTTTCCAAAAACTTGGAATATTTTTTCACTGATGAGGAAGCTCTGGATTTTGGCCATGACATTGTTAAGACTTTTCCTTTTGGAATTTTTGTCAGCAGGTGATTTCAAGATTCTTTCTATTTTTACTTTGCTCTCTGGTTCTAATGGATCTGAACAGTTTTTATTCATGATTTCTTGAAATAGTGTCCAGCTTTTTGAAAATACTCTTGGCTTACACAGTGATTCTTAAATTATTTCTCCTTGACCTGTTTTCCAGGTCAGTTTTTTACATTTTCTTCTATTTTTTCAGTCTTTTGATTTTACACTAGTATTTCTTGGTTTCTCATGGAGTCATTGACTTCTGTTTGGCCTATTCTGATTTTCAGGGAATCCATTTCTTGGGTAAAGTTTACCGTTTTCTCTTTTAAGGCATTTATTCTCCTTTCAGTTCTTTTCTCAAGAGCTCTTATTTTTAATTTCTTCTTCATTTCTTCTATATAATCCCTGTGGAAAACCCACTTTTTCCCTTTAGGTCTCTGCTTATAACTGTTAGGAAGTTACTTAACTCATTTTTGGGAATCTTTAGGTCTGCAGTAATTTTTGATCCTTGCTAGTGTTTGCTTTCATTTACTCATCTCTGGCTTTTAGTGCCAAGTCCATGCTCCTCTCCCTACCAGAAGTTTGCCTGCTTGGCTTTGCATTGAGTTCCTGTGTTTGCCTGTATCTTTGAGGTCCAGGATACTTTGTGTTCAGGGATTTCTCTGGTGTTTTAGGACAGAGTGTTAGGGACCTCAGAGTTGTTATGTCTGAGGGCTGTGGCACTGTGCTGGTTGCTGGTTCCTGTGGTTCCCTGGGGCTTGAAGATTCCCACTTTGAGGCTTTCTGCTAGTTCCTGGCAGTCTCTAAACTCCCTGTGAGGCTCTACTTGTTTGCCTACACTGGCTTTGCTGGTAGAGTGGGGAAAAGATGACTTTGCTATTGCCCATAGGATGCTGGGTAGCTTTTGTGCAGTTCTGGAGTAGCAGAAATAGCTTATTATGACTCCTCACTGGATGTCTTAATCATGATGCAGTTTGATATGAACTTCAGAGTTTTTTTGCTGGAATAATTATGTGGGAGCTGGGCCTCTCACTCAGGTACCAGTCAAAAGAGCTGGGGTGGGAGCCCATTTCATGGGATTTAAAGGATAATTTTAAATTTTAAATCATTTAAATGTGTTATGTTACTTGTATTTTTATTTTATGATATATTGTTATATTTTATTTTATTGATTTCTCTGATGTCAGATTCTTAGAAATGCAGATTTTAGAAACATCAAATCAATAAACATTTATTAAGCACTTATGATGTGCTAGGCGCTGTGCTAAGTGCTGGGGATACAAAAAGGAGGCAAAAGACAGTCCCTGTCCTCAAGGAACTTATAATTTTGTCAAGATATGTTAACTCCTTTCTTCTTTTAACATCATCAAAGCATTAAAAAAAAAAGTTCTTATGCTCTCCATCTAATTAGACTCCTGACAATGATAGGGTTGGAAGCAACAAATTTGTCATTTTCCTATATTATTGTGGGCAGCTGGTAGCAGAATGGATAAAGTGCTGGGCTTAGAATCAGGAAGACCTGAATTCAAATTTGATCTCATATATATACTAGCTCTGTGACCCTGCGCAAGTCATTAACCTTCATTTGCCTCAGTTTCCTCAACTGTAAAATGGGAATAAAAATAATAATAGCACCTTCCTTGCAGAGTTGTTGTGAGGATAAAATGAGATAATATTTGTAAAAAGTGCTTAGCATAGTACCTGGCACATAGCAGACACTTTATAAATCTTTCCCCCTTCCCTTTTCCTTTTTCACATTAGTCTGTCTATAAGCATTTATTAAGCTACTATGTGCCAGGCACTATACAATGTTATTGTATCCTTATTTAGTTGCTTATGATTGCTTACTCACATCAACCATTTTATGTTTCTCTTAATTTCAGTGTTTGAACTTTGAGATTTCTACAAAGCCCTGATCTTTTCATCAGGAATATTTGCAAGTTTTTTATTTCATTAAGGGTTCATTTTTCCCCCGTAGCATTATACTTAATTTTGCTTGATAGGTTATTTTTGTTTATAAGCCTTATATCCTTTGTCTTCTGGAATGTAATTTTCTAAGCTCTTCCCTCCTTTATAGTATTGACTGCTAAATCATGAATGATCCTGACTGTGGTTGTTTGATACAAATTCTTTCTGGCTGCTTGCAGTACTTTTTCTTTGACCTTGAAGCTCTAGATTTTGACTGTAATGTTCCTTAGAGTATTCTTTTTGTAGTTTCACTCATGCAGTGACCAGTGAATTCTTTCTATTTTCACTTTGCCTTCTGGTTCAAAGGGATCTAGGAGGTTTTCTTATATGATTTCTTTAAATATTATATCTTTTTTGGGTTATGGCATTCAGGTAGTCCAGGCATTCTCAATTTTTTTCTCCTTGATTTGTTTTCTAGGGTAGTTGTTTTTACCAGGAAATATCTTACATTTTCTCCTGTTTGGTTCTGTCTTTTGACTTTGTTTTAATATTTATCTCCTGGAATCATTAACTTCTGTTTGCTCCATTCTAATTTTCAAGGAGTCTGATTCTTGGGTAAGACTTTATACCTCTTGATTCAAGCTGTTAATTCTCTTTCTAATTATTTTTGACATAGCTCTTTTTTATTTTCCATTTTTTTCTCAAATGCACTCATTTAATTTACAAAATCATTTTAAGCTCTTTTTTAAGACTCTTTTCATCATTCCCAGAAATTCTAGTTAAACTTGTAACCAAGCTCTGTTTTTCTTTGAGGCTTTTCATATCATTCACTTGGTTTATATCTTGAATGTCCACATCACCAAAATAATTCATTATGTTATAATTCTTTTTTGTTTGTTTATTTGTTTGCTCATTCCATGTTACTTTCTGACTTGAAACTTTTTTTTGGCCTCAGAGCCACAGATCTCCTGTTTGCTTCTGTACTTGCAATACACATCTGAAGGTCTGGGATCATTCCTTGCCCTGGACAACCAGAGTCCTCTCCTCCATCTTAATCTGTGACCCAACCCTGAGGAGTGAGTGCCAGAGCTTTCAGGTGCCACTTGTCCCTGCTTCTTGCACAGTCAGGCCTCCTCTGAGCTAGGACTGTGCCCTGTTCTTGCCATAGGCATTGCTGAGGCCTTTCTGCAGATGTTCTTGACAAGACCTTGTCCCCATTGTAGACAGATCTTTTTCTCCCTGTGATGATCTGGGCTGGAAATAGCACTCACTGAGACTGTTTTTTCTTGTATTTCCTGATCAGAACTCAATCTAATGTGTTGTCGAATCTTTGTGAAATAGTCGTACTTTGTGGAGAGCTTAATTGTACTTCTTTGTGCTACTATGTCATCTTGACTTGTCTTCTGGATATTTTTTTAAGAGCAATTGTAGAACCTTCTCCTGCCTGTTGTTGCTACTTCCTTCAGTCATTCTCTCTGTCAGTATGAGATATAAGACTATGCTGCAAAAATTCTCAAATGATTTAAAGGCACAAAGAGTCAAGTATTAGACAGCATTGAAATAAGCAGAGTAGTAAAACCTACCAGAGAGGACATTAGTGTATGGAGGGCTAATCAAGAAAGACATTTTGGAGATAAGTTTTGAAGTTGCCCTTTAAATTGTTGGTTGTGTTGAATTAATCTCTTTTAGATATTCTCTAACTACTGCTTGCATAACTTATTACAATATAGATTGAAGAGAGAAGCTTTCCTTTTTATGGCTGCTCTGAGTATGAGCAGCAGTGCTCAGTATAAAGCAGATGTTACCATATTTCCTGTTTGAGATAAAAACTTCTTGTTAAGACTTGTTTTTCAGGAACTGAAATGAAAATAAAATCCTTTAAATTCCTTTTCTGGTATTAAATTTCAGAAATTTTATCAAGCAGCTTACAAGATCCAGGCTGCATGGAAGGGTTTCCAGACTAGAAAGAGAATCAAGAGACTGCCATATGCGGTGACTATTTTGCAGAGGAATTTCAGGTAAAGGGATGTGAACAACAACAATAATAGTAACAATAATAGTAACAATAATAACTCGCATTTATGTAGCACTTTAAGGTTTGTACAGTTCTTTACATGTCTCGGAAAAGAGGAATGAAGGTCAATCAGTGAGTAGAGACAGCTCTGTCAGAGACATATATAGATGAAACTGAAGTTTTAGTGATTTTTGAATCCCTTTGTTTTATTTAGTTAGCTCTCACTAATTTCTGAGGTAACTTCTTCAGCTCAAGCAGATTTTCAGGTTGGAGCATAAGATGTCAGGGACTTGATGTTTCCCTATATAAGACTCTAATGGGTCAGGTCTATATTTGTAGAGGGTAGTGGATAATTCTCTGACTGGTTCAGTCCTTAATATCTATAATTATATCTGTTAATTATGGTAAGAGTAAGAGCAAGACTAGAGTGTTAAAAAAAAACTTGGGCAGATTTCTGGTTTTACTGTCTTTCTCCACCCCACCTTACCCCCTAGTATGTAAATGTAAGTATAAATATACACATACACACATTCTTTGAAGCATTGGAAAAAATAGTAAAAAATAAGCTTTCAGGACACCTCTGTATTGGTGTTTAGATCTGACTTTATTTGTCATGGAAACTTGCAGGTGAAACTTCCTCATCAGGAGCAGTTAGCAAATTATACATATGAAACTATCCTGCTTTCAGTAATTTAAATCCACCAGCTGCATTTCTCAGTTATGATAAGATTAAAACAATAATGCTCCCTGGAGCTAGTCAACAAGTCATGTCATATGTAAAGCAAGGGGTTGAAATAAGCAAAAATCACCCTAGTATAAAGCATGTGATTGTCAAATAAAATTATACAAAATCTCAAGGCACACTTAAGAATATAAAATATTTTTCCTCAATTCTCAAAGTATACTTTGAAGAAAAGGAGTATGAAAGAAAAATATGACAAAAAAAGTAGAGGAAGGGGGAAAGTGTTAAAATACAGTATAAAGGATTGGAGTTTTCATTTTCATTCTGTTTTCATTTCTTATTTTTCTTTCTTATCCATTGTTTTTACTACATAAGTCAGTTTTCTGTTTATGTAATCTTTTCATTACATCTTTTACTTAACCTCATGCACATTCTTCAGCATTTATGATATGCCACAGCCCATTTACACCTAGTACATTTTGATTCCTTGTAGACTATGATATTCCATGGATTGTAACTATCACTAGAAAAATATTGATGCTCAAAATTGTGGTGCTTTCTTTCAGAGAGAAGCTTGGGGTCATTGATGGTGCTTCACAATTTCACAAATAAAATACAGCTTTCTCTCTTGCACAGCTTTCAGTAGCAGGATACAGAGTGTCACTGATGCAGGTCTTACCAACTCTGTGGAGAGTAGTAAGACAAATGTTGTCCAGTTCCTAGCAGAAGACGGCTTAGCAACGGTAGATGTATTTTAGTAGTTCCATTTTTATATATGTTCTGTACAAAGTTCTCTGATTCCTTATCATGTTCCTTTTTCTCTCCTCCGTATAGTTAACCAGCATAGTTCGGGTCTTCATCCCCTCTCACTTGAACTATTGCAGTAGCCTCTTAGTTTGTCTTGCTTCTAGCTTCTCCCCTGTCCAATTCAGGCTTCAAATAGCTACCAGATGAATATTCCTAAAGCTCAGTTTTGACCATGTTACTCCCCTGTTCAAAAAACTTTAGTGGCTTTATATAGAATCTGTTGCCTCCAAAATCAAATATAAACTCCCCAGTTTCTTATTAAAGTCTTTCACAATCTAGTTTCTACCTTTCCAAGATGGTTATACATTGCTCCCCTTATGCCATCTTAAGATTTTAGCCAAATTGGCCCACTTGTTGTTCCTCCTACATAACATTCCATTTTCTGTTTCCAAGGCTTTCCCCGCATGCTTTCTCTCTTACCTCTCCTTTGCCTCCCCTGGGCCTCTTTCTTCCTTCTGTCTGCTCCTTGGAGTCTCTGTCTCTTTTCAAGACTCAGCTTAAGTGCCACCCCCTTCAGAAGGCCTTTCCTGATTCACCTACTTGTTATTCTCCTCTCATTACTCTGTGTGTGTATGTATTTTAGGGGATAGAAAGTTCAACTAGGAATCAAGAAGATCTGTGTTCAAGTCCCATTTCTAACATATACTATCTTTGTGACCCCAGGCAAGTCACTTAACTTTGCAGTGTTCTAGGAATTATGATGGTGAGTTGCAAAGCTGTATTGGTAGAGGGAGTTTCACCATCTAGGAGTTCCTTTTAATAAATCAAATCACAGATCAAGTCTTTATCCCTATATATGTTAATTTGTCTATATACATGGATTTTGTGGGGATTTCTCTCCCCAGGCCGAGACTGTTTCATTCTTGTCTTTGTACCCCCAGGACCTAGCATAGTTGCTGTTACATATTGGGTATTTAATAAATGCTTGTAGAATTATATATAGCATGATTTGTAGGGCCCCCCCCTCACCGTTCTGGTTACCCCTCCTCTTATACTCTTTAGCTTACAATGTTCTTCCTAAAATGTATCAGGAATTATACATAATACTCTAGATGTGGTCTGATCAGGGCAGAGTGTGATGGGAACTGGCGCCTGGATACACACACACACACACTCTCTCTCTCTCTCTCTCTCTCTCTCTCTCTCTCTCTCGTCTCTTGACCAATAAAATCACACGAGTTTTGGTTTTTGTTTTTTTTTTCCAGCTGCCATCTCACATTGTTGACTCATAATGAGCTTGCGGGCCAGTAAAAAGAAACCCAAATGTCTTTCACACAATGGTTGTCTAACTATGTTTCCCTCATTCTGTTTTTGTGAAGGTGATTGTTGAACCCTTTTTTTTATCCCTGTGAAATTTTACATCGTTAGATTCAGCTTGATCTTCTTAAGATCTTTTTGAATCACGAATCTGTCATTCAATAATACTCATCCTTCCAAGTTTTTGTGTCATTTTCAAATTTAACAAGCATTCCTCCTACACCTTCACTAACGTCCTTGATAAAAATATTGATCAAAAAATAAATAAAAAATATGGATAAAAAAGTACACAAGGGTCAAACATAGATCCTTGAAGCATTCCTCTAAGATCTTTCCAAATCAACATTGGTTTATTAGAGCTAATCCTTAGTAATTCAGCTGACTCTCGGTCAACCTAACTACTCTTTAATAGCCCACATCTTTCTAACTTGTCAACAGGGATAACATGAGATTTCATTAAGTGCTTTGCCTACAACCCAAGGATACCAAACCTATTAGAGTTCTCTGATCTATTAGTCTTGCAAACCTGTCAGTAAAAGAAAATGACGTGAGTTTGGCATTACCTATTTTTGATGAAATTATACTAGATATTAATGACCAGTGCTTTCTCTCCTGTTTCAATAAATTTTATTGCTTCCTTCTAGCTTTTTCATCATAGTCATTTCTGGATATAATTCCTATCCCTAAAATTAAACTGTCACTTGTAACACAGAAGATAAATATGTAAAAACAATTGATAAAATGACTTTATCTGCTAATGTTTGTAACATTATGTCCTAGTATCCCCCTGCCTCTGCAAAGAGAAGGGAAATACATTTTATTAGCTGTTCTTTGAGACCGAGAGTTATTAGGATAACTCTAAATTCAGTTTCCTCTTAGTACTTTTTTCGTTGTTGTAGTCACTGAATATCTTCTTTCTCTTTTTATTTCATCCTGCATCAGTTAATATGCATCTTTCTTTGTTTATTGGAATTATATTATTTTTTTTTTGCACAGTAATATTTCATTACATCCACTTATCATAGTTGATTCAGCCATTCCTAAATTGGTGGACACCCACTTTGTTTCATGTTCTTTGCTATCACTATTTCCTTTTTCACATGTTCACTCACCAACCTTTTGGTAGTATGTTCTAGAATTTCGCCAAGAATCAAAATCAAGCTCCTGTTAGCCAATCTGATAGGTGTGAGGTGGTACTTCAAAGTTATTTTATTTTATATTTCTCTAATTTCTCTAGAGATTTAGAGCATTTTTTCATAGGATTATTGATAACTTTTATTTCTTCCTCTGAAAATGTCCTATTCATATCCTTGGATCATTTATCAATTGGGGAATGGCTTTTATTCTTGTAAATTTTAGATTATCTTGTTATATGGTGTGAAATGTTGGCATATATATAGTTTCTGCCAGATTACTTTTCCAGTTTTTGTCAAATAGTTCTTTCCCCAAAAGCTAGGATCTTTGGGTCTAACAAACACTAGTATTCTGTGGTCATTTTATCTTTATGAACTTAATCTGTTCTGATGATCAACCTCTCCATTTTGCTCAGTATCAAATTGTTTTGCTGGTTACAGCTTTGAGATCTGATAATATTAGCCCCTACCTTCCTTCCCCATTTTTTTTCCATTGATTCCCTTGATATTCTTAACTTTTATTCTTTCAGATGAATTTTGTTTTTATTTTTTCTCACATCTTCATTGGTAGTTTGGTTAGTATGGCACTGAAAAAGTAAACTAAATTAGGTAATATGGTCATTTTTATTATATGGGCTCAACCTTATGAGCAATTAATATTTCTTCACTTATTTATATCTGTCTGTATTTGTATGGAATGTTTTGTAATTATGTTCATATAATTTCTTTGTGTGTCTTGGCAGGTAGACTAGTAAGTGTTTTATACTGTCTGTAATTATTTTAAATGGAATTTCCCTTTTTATCTCTTCCTGCTGGATTTTTCTGTTAATGTAGAGAAATGCTGTTGATTTATGTGGGTTTTTTTTAATATCCTACAACTTTGCTAAAATTGTTAAATGTATCAGTTTTTTATTTTACTCTCTATTAACCCTACTTTCTAGGGTTTTCTAAGTGAACCATCATGTCATCTGTAAAAAGTAATAATTTTCCTTCCTTATTGCTTATGCTTATTCCTTCAATTTCTTTTTCTTGTCTTATTGCTATAGCTAGCATTTCTAGTATAATATTGAATAATAATTGTAATAATGGACATCCTTGCTTCACCCCAATCTTATTGGAAAGGCTTCTAGCTTATCCCCATTACACAAAATGCTTACTCTTAGTTTCAAATAGATATTTATAAGAAGGAAAGATGCCTTTTTTTGTTTTCTGGTGTTTTTAACAAGAATGAATGTTGTATTGTGTCAAAAAGCTTTTTCTGCATCAATTGAAATTATCATATGATTTTTGTTGTTAATATGATCAATTATACTTCAGATTGTCCTGATGTTAAACCAGTCTTGCATTCCTGGTGTAAATCTAGCCCAGTCATAATGAATGATCTTTGTATTGCTAGTATTTTATTTAAAAGTTTTGCATTGATATTTATTAGGGAAATTAGTCTATAGTTTTCTTTCTCTGTTTTGACTCTCACAGGTTTAGGTATGGAGACCATATTTGTGTTGTAGAAGGAAATTGTTAAGGCTCCTTTAACTGTTTTTGAAATGATATATGTAATATTGGAATTAATTATTCTTTAAATGTTTTGTAGAATTTGCTTGTCAGTCCTTCTGGTCCTGGAATTTTTTTCTTAGTGAGTTCATTTATGACTTGTTCAATTTCTTTTTATAAAATAGGGTTATTTTAAGTATTCTATTTCCTGTTCTGTTAATCTGGGCAATTTATATTTTTATAAATTTTCATCCATTTCATTTCAATTGTCAGTTTTATTGGCATATAGTTGGGCAAATAGCTCCTATAAATTGCTTTGTTCACTGTATCTATTCCTGCCTTTTTTATTTCAGCTGGAGCATAATAGATTCTTCTTCAGCCCCTTATTTTAACTCTATTTTTCATTTCAAGTGTGTTTCTTGTAAACACATATTGTTGAAATCTGATTTTTAATCTATTCTAGTATCTTCTGTTTTATAGGTGAATTGAGCCCATTCATAGTATAACTGCTAATTTTGTATTTCCCTCCATCCTATTTTCTTTTATTTATCCTGCTCTTTTTTTTTACCTTTCCCATCTCTAAGAGTGTGTTTTGCTTTTGACCACTGTCTTCCTTAATTTTTCTTCTTCTTAATATTTCCCCTCCTGCCTTTTCTCTTAACCCATTTCCCTCCTACTTCCCTGTTGGGTAAGATGAGTTTCTGTAGTGTGTGTATTTTTATTCTTTCCTTCCTTTTCTTTTCTTTTTTTTTTTTTTTGGCAAGGCAGTTGGGGTTAAGTGACTTGCCCAGAATCACACAGCTAGTAAGTGTCAAGTGTCTGACGTCAGATTTGAACTTAGGGCCTCCTAACTCCAGGGCCAGTGCTCTATCTGTTGCGCCACCTAGCTGCCCCTATTCCTTTCTTCTTGAACCAATTCAGCTGAGAATGAGGTTCAGATGTTGTCTGCTTTTCTCAGAATCGCCTCTGTTTTATAAACTCTTCCTTGTACTCCTTTGTGTTTATTTATGTGAGATAATTTTCCCCATTCTTCTACCTTCCCTCATTTCATGTTGTACTCCTTTCCCACCCTTCTATGCTTCTTTTGAAATCAAACATAATAGAATCATACCCAGGCTTTCTGTCTAATTAGACACCCTCTAAGATCCCTGGTGATGATAAACTTCTGAAGCATTACATGTATCATCTCTCCATAGAAGAATGTAAATAGTTTGTTTAGTCCCTCACTCATTTTTATCTTTTTATGTTTCTCTTGAGTCCTGTGTTTGAATGTCAGATTTTATATTCAGCTCTGGTCTTTTCATCAGGAATACTTGAAAGTCCTTTATTTTGTTAATATGTTAGTTTTTCCTCCTTTATGCTCAGTTTTTTTGTGTAGATTATTTTTTGTTATAATCCTAGATTCTTTGCCTTCTAGAATGACACATTCTAAGCCTTCCTCTTTTTAATAGTGGTGGCTGTTAAATTGTGTGTGATCCTGACTAGGACTCCATAGTACTTGAGTTTTTTTTCTGATTGCTTGCAATATTTTATCCTTGACCTGCGAGTTCTGAATTTTTCATTTTGGTGTTTCTTTCAAGAGATGTCCACTGGGGAGCAGCTAGGTACAGTGGGTAGAGCTCCAGCCTTGGAGTCAGGAGGACCTGAGTTCAAATCTACCCTCAGACACTTGATACTTACTAGCTGTGTGACCCTGAGCAAGTCACTTAACCCCAATTACCTCACCAAAAAGCAAAAGAAAAAAAAAAGAAAGAAAGAAATGTCTATTGGATTCTTTCAGATTCTACTGTGCCCTCTGATTCTAAGGTACCTGGGCAGTTTCCCTATAATATACCATGAAATGTAATGTCTTGGCTCTTTTTTTGTTCTCAGCTGTCAGTTCAGTGATTCTTAAATTCTCTTCTTAATCTGTTTTCAAGACATTTGTTTTTAGCCTTGTGATGTGGCTATGTTATTTTTTTGGTGTCTTATGGAGTCATTAACTTCCATTTGGCTAATTCTGATTTTCAAGGAGTTAGTTTCTTCAGTGAGGTTTTGTACCCTCTTTACTAAGCTGTTAATTCTCTTTTCATAGCTTTCTTCCATAGCTCTCATTTGGTTTTTTAAATCATTTTCAGCTCCTTCATTAATGTTTCAGCTGTTCTGGAAATTCTTGTTAGACTTGTGGCCAATCTTCATTTTTCTTTAAGGCTTTGCTTGTGCAAGGAATATGACAGTGAAATGTTAACTTTTCCTACATGATGTAATTTGAGAGGTTTCTAACAGTTTGCTTGGCCCCAAATTCCTCACTTATCTACATATACCCTTTTAACAGGAATTTGTACATTAGTCCTTCCTTGTGGGGTAGCTAGGTGGCACAATGGATAGAGCACTGGGTCTGGAGTCAGGAAGACTCATTTTCATGAGTTCAAATCAGGCCTTGGACACTTACTAGCTGTGTGTGATCCTGGGCAAGTCACTTAACTCTCTATGCCTCAGTTCCTCATCTGTAAAATGTGCTGGAGAAAGGAAATGGTGAAAACTCCAAATGGGGTCACAAAAAGTCAGACATGACTAAAACAACTCAATAACAGCAAAATCTTCCTTTGTGTTAAGGTATTTTTAAGTCCCTGTTCACATCTGAGAGAAGGGATACATTAAACTGTTAATATTTTAATTCAAATTACTTTATCAGATTAATTCATTATTTGTCTAACAAAGCTGTCCCTGAAGAAATGGGGAAAAAAGAGAAGTAATTATAATTGAGAAAAGATTAGAAAAACAGGATTGTAGGGCAAACCACTGTGTAACTGTGCAGTAGGGGGCTTTGGATATTGCAGACAGCACCCTGTGAGGTAGGGTGCCAAATGAGAAGGAGGAGACCACCAAAAAGGGAAAAATATACCTGAAAATTCAAGAATGATTTGAACATTGCTTTGCTTATTTTACTCCCAGTGTTGTTTTTAAAAAAAATATGAATCTTATATAATCATACAGTTTCAGAGTAAGGAGGGCCTTAAAAGATCATCTTGTTCAATCCTAGTTCTCAACCTCTTCCTCCCCCCAGGGTCCAGACACCATAGTCTACAAAAGAAAAAACTAGGACCCAAAGAGGACTTGATCCAGTTGGCTCAGTGAAATTACTTTCACTAGACCCTAGACTAGAATTTGTTTTTGCTCGCTGCTAGTCCTTTGCTCTTTCTATTGCCATACTGAATTTGAAATAAAGTAGTGGTGGGCTGGAGGGGTAGAAAGGTAAACTATGATTTTATTGGTATGGGAAACTATCTTAAAGAACACAGAGTCTTTTCTGCAGTTTCCAGCCTTAGTTGCCTGAAGCCCTGAATGGTTAAGTGACTTGCTAAGTATCAGGCAAGTATGGTCATTCGTGATGAGATTATCTCCTGGGTATTCCTGTTCATTTGGTGAGGGGATGTCCTCATTTCGAGCAGTGTGCAAAGAAAAAATAAACAATGTTTTGAGTGCTGGACAAATGTAAACCCTGTAAAGTGATGACTTTACATATCCTGGTTCTCTTTGCTAGGGATGTTAGAGGTGATAGAAAGGAGTAGGAATAACTAAAGAATGCTAGGCATTTTTATAAATGTTGGCCAAGACAATGCAGATTTGATTACTGAATGACATTTTTACAGCCATATGATTTTTTAATACTATTTTAAAGTCTCTGTTAATACTTCCATCTACTAGAAATAAACGAGAAAAACAGCTACTGAAACTAAAGAAGCAGAAGGAAGAAGAGGGCCTCAGGTTACAGTTGCAACTTCAGAGACAAAGAGCCATGAGAATATCCCGGGAACATCAGCTAAATTTGCTGGAAATAGTCAATCCAGGCAAGTGGTGACAATATCAGTTGTGTAAGAGTAAGAGGTTACCGTGTAATTGCCTATTACTGAAAAACTATTTTTCCAATGCTTTTTTTTTTATCACAGACTTATTCAGTCATTCTCATTTGTTGTTCATTTCTCAGATGTTTAAAGACTCTTAGGTTTTACCCTTTCCTTTAGTTAAGATGAATTAGTTAATGTAGTCAACCAAACTAGGAAAAATCAAAAGTCCGTGTTTAAGCAGGCCAATATAGATAGGTAGAAACTTTATTTTAAGACTCCCATTGGGGGAGGGAGAAGAGTGGAAAGGGGAGAAAATTTAAAACTCAAAATTGTATGGAAGTGAATGTTGAAAATTAAAAATAAATAAATTATCCAAAAAAAAAAAGAACATTCCCATTTAAAAAAAAAAGACTCCCACTAGTGATGGGACAGCAAAGGGAAGCCGGGCTGACTATGAGGCATGTACCATTCAGCTTTGACAATTTCTTATATATCCAGGAAAGAGATATAAAAACATTTGTTCATTCAGAAGCCACCAGGGGTTCCAAGTAAGCAATTCTGTACTGAATCAGTCACTGTCTTTTATTTTCATTCTCTCACTTTCTACTACTCCTTTCCTGCTCCTACAAAACCTGCCTATGTCTTCCCCACAATTAAAAACCTTCACTTCCACCTTCATTCTCCTATTCTTGCTAGCTGTTATCATATATTTGTCCTCCCTTTCATGGCAAAATTCCATGAGAAAGCCATCTGTACTCAGTGTTTCCACTTCCTCTCCTGTGTCTTGTGCAGTTTGGCTTCCATCCTCATCAACTGAATAACTCTCTCTCGATTACCAGTGATCTCTTAATTGGCAAATATAATGACCTTTTTTTTTTTTCAAGCCTCATCCATCTTGACTTCTCTGTAGCACTGATAATGTTGATCACCTTTTCTTTCTTGATGTTCTACTCCATCTAGGTTTTTGGGACACAGTTCTCTTCTGGTTCTCTTCCTTTCTGTTCAACTATCCTCAGTCTCCTTGGCTGATTCCTCATCCATGCCATGCCCATTAACTTATTTAGGAATCTACCTCCCGAAACAAACCCAGGAACTCTATGAACACAAATATAAAACACTTTTCACACAAATAAAGTCAGATATAAATAATTGGAAAAACATCAGTTGCTCATGGGTAGGCCGAGCTATCCCCAAAGCTTTGTCTTGGGGCCTCTTCTTTTTTCTGTTTATACTATTTCACTTGATGATCGCATCATCTCCGGGGCTGAATTATCTCTATATAAATGATTTCCTGATCTGTATATCCAGCTCTAGTCTTTCTCCTGAGCTTCAGTTCTGCATTGCTTTTCAGACGTCTCGAACTGGAGGTCCTAGATTTATCTCAGACTCAACATGGCTAAAACAGAAATCATTACTTTCCCCCACCCCTCTAAAAAAGTAGGAATTGTCTTTCTTTTTTTGTCCGTTTGTATCCTCTGTGCTTACCATGGCTCCTGGCACATAGTAAGCACATAATAAGTGCTTGTTAATTTGACTGTTCCCAAGATCTTCATTACTGTGCTGGGCACACCCATCCTCCTACTCACGCAGGCTCAAAGCCTTAGTGTCATCCTAGACTCCTTACTTTCATTCACCTGGTCTGTGATCAAATCCTGTCAGTTCTACCTTTGCCATATCTCTTGTATACGTCCTCTATCCTTGTTTGGTCCCTTATTGTCACCTCTTGACTAACCTGTTGAAATACCTTTAAAAAATTTTTGTGAACCCCAGGACCAAATGGATTCACAAGTGAATTCTACCAAACATTTAAAGAACAGTTAATTCCAATACTATATAAAATATTTGGGAAAGTAGGCAAAGAACCCAAATTTCTTTTACAGCTATAGCAATAAGTCAAGAATAAGAAATTGAAGGAATAAAAATAGGCAATTAAGAAACAAAATTATCTCTTTTTTTTGATTCTGATGCTTATTTTTTTATTAATTTATTTTGATTTATCAACAATCACTTCCATATGCTTTTGAGTTTAAAATTTTTCTCCCCCTTCCTCCCCACCACCCTCACCAAGACGGCGCACAATCTGATATAGGCTGTACGTCTACATTCCTATTAAACATATTTTCACATTAGTGATGTTGTAAGTAAGAACTAGAACCAATAGGAGGAACCACCGGAAAGAGGAAACAAAACTCAACAGAAGAGAAAAAAAATAACAAGTAGTATGCTTCGATCTGCATTCAAATTCCATAGTTCTTTCTTTGGATGTGGATAGTATTTTCCATCATGAGGCCTTTGGAGATGTCTTAGATCCTTGTATTGCTGGGAACGGTTAAGTTTATCAATATTAGTCATCGAACAACGTGGCTGTTATTGTGTACAACGTTCTCTTGGTTCTGCTCATTCACTCAGCATCAGACCATACAAGTCTTTCCAGGTTTTTCTGAAGTCAGCCTATTCATCATTTCTTATAGCACAATAGTATTCCATTATATTCATATACCACAACTTGCTCAGCCATTCCCCAATTGATGGGCATCCTCTCAATTTCCAATTCTTTGCCACCACATAAAGAGCTGCTATCCATGTTTTTGTACATGTGGGTCCTTTCTCCATTTGTATGGTCTCTTTGGGATATAGCCCTAGAAGTGCTATTGCTGGGTCAAAGGGTATGCAGATTTTTATAGCCCTTTGGGCATAGTTCCAAATTGTTCTCCAGAATGGTTGGATCATTTCACAACTTCACCAACAATGCATTAGCATTCCAATTTTCCCACATCTTCTCCAACATTTATCATTTTCTTGTTTCGTCATGTTGGCCATTCTGATAGGTGTGATGTGGTACCTCAGAGTTGTTTTGATTTGCATTTCTCTAATCAATAGTGATTTGGAGCATTTTTTCATATGACTATAGATGGCTTTAATTTCTTCATCTGAGAACTGCTTGTTCATATCCTTTGACCATTTATCAATTGGGGAATGACTTGTATTTTTATAAATTTGACTTAATTCTCTATATATTTTAGAAATGAGGCCCTTATCGGAGAGACTGGTTGTAAAAATTCTTTCCCAATTTTCCACCTTCCTTCTAATCTTAGTTACATTGGCTTTGTTTGTGCAAAAACTTTTCAATTTAATGTAATCAAAGTTATCCATTTTGCTTTTCATAATCTTCTCTTTCTCCTGTTTGGTCATGAATTCTTCTGTTTTCCGTAAACCTAATAGTAAACTACTCTTTGCTGTCCCAGTTTGCTTACAGTATCAGCCTTTATACCTAAATCATGAACCCATTTTGACTTTATTTTGGTATATGGTGTGAGATTTTGATCAATGCCTAGTTTCTGCCATACTCTTTTCCAGTTTTCCCAGCAGTTTTTTTCAAAGAGTGGGTTCTTATCCCAGGAGCTGGGGTCTTTAGTTTTATCAAATAATAAATTACTATAGTCATTGACTACTGTGTCCACTGATCCACCACTCTGTTTCTTAGCTAGTACCAAGCAGTTTTGATGATTGCTACTTTATATATTACAATTTATGATCTGGAATTGCTAGGCAACTTTCCCCTGCATTTCTTTTCATTAGTTCCCTTGATATTCTGGACCTTTTGTTCTTCCAAATGAATCTTGTTATTATTTTTTCTAACTCTATAAAATAATTTTTGGTAGTTTGATTGGTGTGGCACTGAATAAGTAAATTAGCTTAGGTAGAATTGTCATCTTTATTATATTAGCTCGGCCTACCCATGAGCAATTGATATTTTTCCAATTATTTATATCTGACTTTATTTGTGTGAAATGTGTTTTATATTTGTGTTCATAGAGTTCCTGGGTTTGTTTCGGGAGGTAGACTCCTAAATATTTTATAGTGTCTACAGTAAGTTTAAATGGAATTTCTCTTTCTATCTCTTGCTGTTGGACTTTGTTGGTAATATATAGAAATGCTGATGATTTATGTGGGTTTATTTTATAGCCTGCAACTTTGCTAAATTTGTTTATTATTTCAAGTAGTTTTTTACTTGATTCTGTAGGGTTCTCTAAGTATATCATCATGTCATCTGCAAAGAGTGATAGCTTTGTTTCTTCTTTGCCTATTCTAATACCTTCAATTTCTTTTTCTTCTCTTATTGCTAAAGCTAACGTTTCCAGTGAGATATTGAATAACAGTGGTGATAATGGACATCCTTGTTTCACTCCCAATCTTACTGGAAATGCTTCTAGTTTGTCCCCATTACATATTATGCTTGCTGAAGGTTTTAGATAGATGCTATTTATTATTTTAAGGAAGACTCCATTTATACCTATGCTCTCTAGTGTTTTTAATAGGAATGGGTGTTGTATTTTGTCAAAAGCTTTTTCTGCATCTATTGAGATGATCATGTGGTTTCTGTTAGTTTTGGTGTTGATATGCTTAATTATGCTGATGGTTTTCCTAATATTGAACCAGCCCTGCATTCCTAGTATAAATCCTACCTGGTCATAGTGTGTTATTCTTGCGATAAGTTGCTGTAATCTATTTGCTAATATTTTGTTTAAAATTTTCGCATCTATATTCATTAGAGAAATTGGTCTATAGTTTTCTTTCTCTGTCTTGACTCTTCCAGGTTTAGGTATCAGCACCATATTTGTATCATAAAAAGAATTTGGTAAGATTCCTTCTTCACCTATTTTACCAAATAGTCTATGTAGTATTGGAATTAATTGTTTTTTAAATGTTTGATAGAATTCACATGTAAGTCCATCTGGCCCTGGAGATTCTTTCCTAGGGAGTTCATCAATGGCTTGTTCAATTTCTTTTTCTGAGATGGGATTATTTAAGTATTTTACTTCCTCTTCTGTTAATCTGGGCAGTTTATATTTTTGTAAATATGTATTCATTTCCCTAAGATTGTCAAATTTATTGGCATACACTTGGGCAAAATAGTTCCTAATTATTGTTTTAATTTCCTCTTCCTTGGTGGTAGATTCACCCTTTTCATTCTTGATACTAGTAATTTGGTTTTCTTCTTT